TCTTTGTTGCAATCGGGAGATCACAATATTACTATGTTATATATACAGCACTACAACATACAAGAGAGAGAAAGTCATTTACCTGTTTAATAATGATTTGATCAGCAGTGGTTTGAAATTACACAGTTTTTCACCCCTGATGCGCTCTCTCAGAAACTATACATATTTTAAAATAGGCACTATCCGTATAAATAAACTACTTAGATGCTATCTAAACAACTACATTTTCACCCAAAAAGCCTCAAAAGTACATTATGTTGCCCAACAGCAGCAATATTTATCAAACTGTAGAGTGTCTTCTGCTTGTCACTGTATGTGGGTGGAGTAAAACACAAAGGTGAAGGGTTAAAAGGCTGGATGATATATATATATATATATATATATATATATGTATGTATGTATGTATGTGAATGTAAAACATGGCTATGTTATACCATCATAAAAAACATCCAACAATTCTGCCATCATCTACTCACCCTCCACTTGTTCCAAATCTGTTTGAGATTCTTTCTTCAGTTTAACACAAAAGTCATTGACTTTCATAGTATTTTTTGCCAGAGTCAACGACTGCTTTTTTCCAACATTCTTCGGAATAGAAGAAAGAAATTTGTAAAAGTTTACAACCACTGAAGTGTAGATAAACTGTGAGGAAGTTTACATTTTCAGGTGAACTCTCCTTTTAATCGAATCTTCTTCTCCTCCTGCAGGTGTTCGTCCGTATAAGTGTGAGCTGTGTGACAAAGCCTTCACCCAGCGCTGCTCTCTGGAGTCTCACATGAAGAAGATTCATGGTGTTACGCAGCAGTACGCTTACAAAGAGCGACGCAGCAAACTCTACGTCTGTGAAGAGTGTGGCCACACTGCGTCTACCCAGGATGCACTGCTGCGCCACCTGCACACCGAACACCCAAACAGTGCCTTCCTGCGAGCCAAAGGGGCACGCAGACACTCGCCATCCTTGAACGGCACCAAAGACGATACGTCCCAACCCGGCTCTCCTCTCTCTCTTAACAGCGATGATAATGCAGAGTCTTGAGGTTTCCTAAATGATATATTTTTATACATGTGTAATAGGATGTGATTAATATGCATTCTGATGATTTATTGTGTGTCAACGGAAATGTAAAAAGAGGTGCAAAATGCTGTAATGAGATTCAGTTTACACTTGTGCTGTACTGCGGTCTTATGAAAAGCAGACGACAGCAGCGAAAGCATGGACTACTTCAGTTTACATAATGTTTTATACAAATTCAGGAGAAACACATAACTGAATGTGGTATAAAAGGGATAGTTCACCCAAAAAAAACAATTCTATCATCTTTTACTCACTCCCACTGGTTTCAAATCCGCATTTTGACTAGTTTTGGAAACTAGTAGCCATTGACTTCTGTAGTTTTTTGTTTGTTTGTTTGTTTGTTTTCCATGTAGTGGCTGCTGGTTTCTAGTGTTTTCAACAGAAAAAAAGACACTTGTAAATGTTTGGATCCACTTGAGGGTGAGAAATTGGTGGCTACGTTCACTTTTGGGTGAACTGTCCCTTTAAATCAATGGTCTCAAATTCAATTCCTGGAGAGCCATAGCTCTGCACAGTTTAGCTTTACCCACCTCCAACACCTGCTTAATAGTCTCTAGCAGTCTTGAATGGCTTGATTAGTTGGATTAGCTGTGTTTGATTAGGGTTGGAGTGAAACTGCAGAGCTGCGGCCCTCCAGGAATCGAGCTTGAGAACTATGCTTTAAATGATTCTATTTATACTGTGTGTGATGATTGTTTTATGTAGCGCTGTTTCAACTGATAGTTGAATATAAGTGATCTCTGAATGTTGGGATTTCGAAAGGGAATTCATTTTGTGTCGTTAATCACTACCGTATGTAATATATTTGCATAAACTTATAAAAAAAGATTTATATTTATCCTGGTGTAGTTTTTCTACTTGGGTATGTTTGAATATTTTTGCTCTCGATTTTATATGTACAACTTCACATTCTTGTCATACTTGTCCTTTTTGGGTTGCATTTTTTTGTACTTTTTTTACGTCATAAATATAATTGCCTCTTTTAGATGAATTAAGTAGACTTTGTGGCATACAACTTTGATAATCCTCATAACACACCTACACAATAAAGGCTTTTTTTGTTTTTTAAAAAGAAAAGTGTGATTCATTCACTTGAATTGTTTCTAGAATGGGCGTCACGATGGCACAGTCGATAGCATGATTGCCTCACAGCAAGAAGGTCGCTGGTTTAAGCCTCAGATGGGTCAGTTGGCATTTCTGTGTGGAGTTTGCATGTTTTCCCCGTGTTCGTGTGGGTTTCCTTTCCAGTTTCCCCAAAGACATGCTCTATAGGTGAACTTAATAAACTAAATTGTCCGTAGTGTATGTGTGTGAATGAGTGTATGGGTGTTTCCCAGTTGGGTTGCGCTGGAATGGCATCTGCTGTGTTAAACATAAGCTGAATGAGTTGGCGGTTCATTATGCTGTGGAAACCACTAAATATTAAAGGGACTAAGCCGAAAAGAAAAAGAATGAATGTTTCTTGAATACACATTCAGACACTCTTAAAACTTATTAGTAATATTTTAAGTGCTTTACATGCATGACTGCATGCACAGCAACAGATAAGACCATTAAGACCAACAATAAAGCGTTTTAGAATTTGCATGCAAGACAGCAGGCAGGAGAGAGAGGGAGATTCAGTGGGTGGATGTTGGTGGATTCCAGATCCCTGTTTGGTCTTGTTTGGAATTCAGTGTCTGTTTCATTGTGGGGCCATCAGGCATTAACGGCTCAAAGCTGCCTATCCCTTTAGAACCGTTATTTTTTCTTTTTAACCTCTCCAACCAATTCAGTACCACCCTTTTTAAAACTGTAATAGTGAACAATAGTTTCTTGTTTACAACAAACAGAATTGAATACAAATTGTAGATTTAGGCTATTTTACACTCTGAGAAATAAAGGTACAGGAGCTGTCACTGGCGCAGTACTTTTTCAAAAGATACATATTTGTACCCAAAGGGTCCATACTGGTACCTCAAAGGTGCATATTAGTGCCCAAATGTACCCATAAAGTACATTTGAGGTACCATTATGAACCCTTCAGGTACATATGAATCTTTTGAAAAGGTACTGCCCCAGTGACAGCTCCTGTAAGGTATTTCTGAGAGTGTAAGGCAAGACGCTGCAGGTGAATGTGGTAAAATAATATGCAAATTGAGTATTTTGCTTAAATACAGTATGTAAATGAGTCTTTTTTTAACATTTTAATTAATTATGCACCAATTTGAATACATTTTAAGCACAAATCTGAACGTTTTGCATGATGTCAGGTTAAAAATGATTGTTTAGCTCATTTATTGACACATTAGAGTCAAAGGCTTTTACACAGAGGATTTGGGGAATCTCTTTTTATCACTCCTCTCTTTTGGTAGGAAAAAATGTACATTTATTAATTTTCCTTTGGCTTAGTCTCTATTTTAGAGGTTACCAGAGTGGAATGAACCGTCAGCTATTCCAGCATATGTTTTACGCAGCAGATGCCCTTCTTGCCACAACCCAGTATTGGGAAACATCCATACACTCTCATTCACACACACACTCATATACTACAGACTATTTAGTTTATTCAATTTACCTAGCGCATGTCTTTGGACTTGTGGGGGAAACCGGAGCACCCGGAGGAACGTGGGGAGAACATGCAAAGTCTGCACAGAAATGCCAACTGGCCCAGCTGGGTCTTAAACCCGTGACCTTTTGGAAATGTATGATCGAGTGCAGGAAGAAAAAAGGCATGCTTTGTTATGCAAATAGACACACAAATGAGAAGGTCTATTTTGAATGTTTTATTTCAATTAAAACTGAAAAAAAAATCACTAAAAGATAAAAACCCCAAAGAGATAGTTCATCCAACATTTTAATTTACTCACTATTCTAAAATGTGACCCCCGCTTTAAAAAAACAGTCATAAGTGTCAATCTGTATGCAGATTAAATAAGATTTCCTTTGATGTATGCTTTGTTAAAATATGGCAATATTTGGTCGAAATACAACTATATAAAAACTTTAATTGTGTTAAAAAAGAATAAAAAATATTGAGAAAATCACCTTCAAAATTGTCCAAATTAAGTTTTTAGCAATGTTTTTGGGTGAACTATGCCATTAAGAAGCAGAGTATTCACCGCTTTTGTATATGCTGCCGAAGTGGAAATGAGTGCTGAAGAAAACTTAAAGAAAAAAAAGACATGCAAATATACACACAATTAAGACGTCTATTTTGGATGTTTTCTTTCAATTAAAACTGAAAAAAAAAACACTTTGTAAATAATTTTAAAAAGCTCCAAAACTGAAAAATGTGACATTGTATTTACCTGCAGTTTTTTGCCTTAAAGCACAGGTGTCAAACTCAGTTACAAAAGGGCCGCAGCTCTGCACAGTTTAGTTCCAACCCTAATTAAACACACCTGATCAAACTAATTGAGTCCTTCAGGCTTGTTTGAAACCTACAGGTAAGTGTGTTGGAGCAGGGTTGGAACTAAACTGTGCCGGGCTTCGGCCCTCCAGGAATTGAGTTTGACACCCCTGCTATAGGGATAGTTAATCCAACATTTTAGTATTTACTCACCATTGTTCCAGACAGTTTACTTTCATTGTGAAAAGTTTTACATTTCATTATGTTCATTACAAAGACATTATAAATAATGTTAGAAACTGGCATTGATACCCAAAGTAAAAAAAAAACTACAAAAAATCTTCTTTTGTGTTCAACAAAAGAAACTCAAACAGCTTTGTAAAAAGTGAAGAGTGACTGAACGATGACAGAATGTTCATTATTGAGTGAACTATCCCTTTAAGCGGAGGTAAATTCGCTGCAGCTTTTTTAACGCAAAACGTTCACCTAAACAGCACAAGTATGTTCAGTCCAAAAAATTCTCATGCACGGTCATGTTCCAGCAATCTGACTATCATGCACCATCAACCCTTTGAGTGGCGCTACACGTGTGTTGTTGTCGCGGACGGAAATGACGAAACGATAGGACTTTCGAAAACACAGGCGGGGAAACACAAACAGCGAGCGCGGAAGGAAGGTAAATAAAGCAACCCCGCAAAAAACTCTTAAATAATATATTGAGAATAATAGGTTACATGCATTTAAAAGAGAGTATATTACTGAATGTGTACATTTTCATTTACGCTAACGTTGCATGCATACAGATACCTTTTATAGACCATTTTAATGTGGTGATAATGTGGTCCGTGGCGTGAACATTTCCTGCTTGTTATCAAACTATTTCATAACTGTGACAAAAGGCAATTCAATCATAACTTAATGTTAAAACAGCTACTATAACAGTATTTATCAATATGTGGCTCTTTTGGATTCTCTAAAGCTATAGAAATTAAAAATGTAAAACATTTACAATACTTTGGTACCATTGTTTCCATTTACATCCCTCAAAATGGTCTAACTATACACACTTTTAGAAGTGCCTAGAACGCATTATTGCAAAATAAGTGGCTGCGTCATACTTAACGTATAATCAACACGCAAACTAACGTTACACGAGTCTCTTTGCTGTCTAGGATGTGAATTAGATGTCGGACTGAAATATGCCGACGGATCAGGTGTGTTTGGGACGGAAGCGCCCTCTGCCATCGTGCCCCAATCCTCTGTTTCTGCAGTGGTTGACGGAATTACGGGACAGCGCCAAGGAGAAGGGCTTGAAGACTCAGTTCGTCTACCAGAAGGTGAGCGACTGACTGAGCTGCAGTTCAGTTTGAATATAAACCTTTTTAAAATATGGCGAACTGTTCACCTGCAATGCTGTGCTTTCTGTTGTACAGGCCATAAACTCTTTGAAAAAATATCCTCTTCCTCTGAAAAACGGGAAGGAGGCGAAGATCCTGCAGAACTTCGGCGACGGGATCTGCAAGATTTTGGACGAGCGCCTGCAGAAACACTACCGGGAAAACGGTGTGGAGCTTCAGTGTGTAACTGAGGGGTTCATTCTTGTTGATCTACCCAGGTAGCAAAGACTTCTGGCCCAGATTTGGCATACATCTGGCACAGCAGGCGCTCATCCGGCAGTGGCATTAAGCATGTGGGCCAAACATGGCTCTGGTTTGGCAGAGGTGGCACTGTCTTTAGGGTGCCACAGAATACTTGGGCCAGAAGTAAAATGTAGTATTTGGCCCAAATGTTAATAATTGATATGTAGGCCGTGTAAGTTTAGCCTATCTTGACCCACATTTAAAATGCATGTTTATTATTTTCAAATAAATAAAAAAAAGTCTACCAATCAGGTTGCTTTGAGAAAAAAACATGCCCATAGCATGCCTAAAGCGCAATGATTCATGAATTTATCAATTTCATTGCAGTTCTGACACACCAACATATCAGGCCCAGTTCAGGCTCAGTTATGGGTTATTAACTTGGCTGAGACTTGGCCCAGATATGGTCCATGTTTGGTCCTTGTCTGGAAGCCAGACTGGGTCCACTTATGTACTGTAATTCACTGCATTATGTGGGCCAAGCACAAGCTGATCTTATGGGACAGAGCTGGGCCAGAGATATTTTGCTATGTGGGTACTCTGGGCCCCTTCACTAAAAGCCCATCCTAAAATGTGATCCTGCAGCACGAAACCAGTCATAATTGTCAGTTTTTTAATTGCTCCATATACATTATCTGTTTGCAGAATAAATAAGGCTTTCTTTGTGCAGAATAAGACAATATTTGGTTTGAGTTACAATTATTTGAAAACCTTCACTATGAGGATAAAATTTTTCCTAGAATTGAGAAAATCAACATCAAAATTGTCCAAATTAAGTTCATAGCAATGTTTATTACTAATCAAAATTGTGTTTTGGTGTATTTACAGTAGGAACTTTACTAAGGCCCAATCCCAATTCTACCCCTTAGCCCTTACCCTTACCTCTACCCCTCATTTTGTTTGTTGCTGTGAACGGGTAGTGGTGTCCCAATTCTCTTTAGCTTGAAGGCGTAGGGCTAAGGTAAAGGGGTAGATACCCTTTCAAATGAAGCTTTTTGCAGGACCACACTTGAATCCAAGGGGTACGAAGATTTCCCAGAATATACCTGCCACAACGGCAGGATTGCTGCAACCGGAAGTAAAGAAATCCACAAATTAGTATTTTTTGTCATTTTTACAAATTTTTACAACAAACAAGCACATGTTTTATTATATTCATATCTGCGTTCACGTTTTACCGTGTTTTAACCCTATTGCTAAAATAAAAACTGCTAAATTTTGATATCTATAATCTCAAATCATAACTCCTGTACAGCAGTCCCACAACATTCTGACACTCGACACTGAAATACCCTGTCAGAAAAGTCTAGTGGCTGGGAATGTGTTTGCATAGATGAGGCCATGGTGTAAATGCGCAGTACAGTTACTATCTTATTGCTGCATTATATCGTTATGATAACATAATGTATGTCTGAAGATAACAACCAAAAAATAACACGACTGGATTAACTATAGCAGTCGTGATCATCAATCTCAAATGAAGCAAGAGATCACAATGTCATATGATGACGTGTGCAGGTGCTGTAGTGCTGTCCTATTTCTTAGGGGTACATTTTGAAGCCCTTCCCCTTCACACTCGTTTTGGGGTACACTCGTGTAGGGATACAAAAATAGAATTGGGATTGGGCCTAAATAAATACCTTTATGGAACATGATTTTGGCATTAAAAAACTATTTTGACTCACAAAGCTGATTTAGAAAACATTAAGTTTTTATTATATTAAATTATTTATTAATATCACTCATTGTCGTAATCAAAATAATTAAAAAGAGTCTTAACAGCACACATCCAAAAAGCTCAATATGTTAGGTGCTCTGCCACAGAACCAAGAATCTCAAAGAATGGGCACCACGGCTTCATATATAGCAACATATAGTCCTCAGCATATATGAGAACACCCCTCACAAATCTGTCTTTTAAATTTATATTTTATTAGGAAGCTTTACAATATTATATTATTGCATATAGATTAGATTAGTCAGTACTGAAGTAAAATCTAGAGCTTATCTAACAAAATAAGATAACGATCCAAAAACATGTACACCCAAATTTATGTTATAGAAAAATATTAAATACAAATAAAAAAAGAGGAAAAATCAAGAGAAGAAAAAAAGGAAATTTTTTGTTGAAATTTTGTAGAATGTAATTAATTTTTTGCAATATTTTGCTTGAATTTAATTGTTTTATCTTTCAATTTCTAAATATGTTTGGTGACTAAAATATTATTTTAATTAATATATCTGTTTAATAAATCTGTTTTGTTTGAATGCAGCAAAATGCATTGCCTATATTCACTGAGAAATGAATAAAACTATTTCTCATTTATACTGAGCACTGTATTTATGTTCTCACCACAAGTGCTGATTTGAGCTTAGTTACTGTTACTTTGTTATCAAATTATTCAAATTTCTATAATTGATTTTAATCTAATATTCATTCATTGAGTGGGATAATAGATAGTTTTCTGTCTCCTTTTATTATAAGATTAGGATGCCTTGCATGATCATTGTAATTAATTGTCAACATGTAATATCATAATATAATTCATTCCATGACATGAGTTACATCTAGGAACACTATAATAATAATTAAATGTAAAAAAAGGAAAATATGAAAAATGTAATGTCTCCAGTTTATGTTGGCTAGGAATGCAAATGCTAAGATGTGGAGTGGAAAATTACCCTTCAAAAAAAAGTCAGTAGCCTTTAGAAGTTCACATTTTAAATAGACATGACTCTCAGCACTAGCCAAAAATCCTACAGTCTTATTGTAAACAACTGATGCAATTCACCAAAAAAAAAAAAAAAAAAGGATAATATCAGGGGTCCCGAATCCTCCAGCTACCCTCAGCTTTTAATAACTACTTTCTGTTTTTTCCCCCTCTTCTGAAAGGTCCAGATGCTCCAGTCCACTTGGCTCCATCCTGTCATTGGAACAACATGGCTTCATCCAAGCAAATGGAGGAAAGTCAGAAGGAACCTTTAGGGAATTTTAGCGAACATACGGTTGGTTTGAAATAAATTGTGCTTATTTGTTTGATTTAATATTAAAAACTCATGAATGTTTTCTTATACAGAAACTAACACAAAAAGAAGTAAGAAAAGAGAAGGGTGCTAAGAAGAAGCGAGAGTATGTGCCACAGAAGAGGTCTGGAGGATACGCGGTACTGCTCACGTTATACAGACACATACAGGTAAAATTTAGCATTGAGTATCCCTTTTTTTTCAGTAGCCTTTTGTTTTGTTTATTGTAAAAAAAAAAAAAAAAAAAAAACAAGTAGCTGTCAGATAAATTGCAGTATTACAACACAGATTGTAAGCAAAAACAACTATACAAAAGGTAAAAAAAAAAAAAAAGGTATCGGAAATGAAATATAAATATTTACTATTTAAAACTCATTTGTAAAATAAGCTGCTAAAGATGCAAAAATGGTACATTTGTAGTATTGTTCATTGTAATGGATGATACTGTGGTGTAATAAGGACTTCAGTAGTTTGAAGTGAACATAATATATGGGATTTTTGGAGCAACCTGACCTCTGCATTTAGTTGTGTCTCTTTTTTTTCAGATGCCTGGCAGTAAAGGCTTCATGTTCAGAAATGAGCTTCAAACTGAGGCACAACCCTTGTGTGAAAAGTCCTTCACAGTGGTAAGGCCAACAACAGACTCCAGGGTTGCCAGTGCCAGGGTTGCCAGTTTTCCCACACAATCCTTTGAAAATATGAAGGTGCCGGTTGTGACTACTTTTATACATGTTGCTGCTGTCAAAATATTTGATTTATCATTTATACAAAATTAAAACTGTTATAGATGGCACTGCACATATTAAATATACAGAACATTACTATAAGAGAAAGATATTTAAAAGTGGCTCTTTTAAAAAAAAAAATTTTATTAACATCCATTTACACTTTTTGTATCTGCTTAATATAGCCAAACATCCATGATTGATTTAGTAGTGGAAAATCTTCTCTTGTTTACCAGTTTCATTCTGTGCTTGTGAGACCCGTCAGCAATCGTGAAGACAGTTTCCCGTGCTCTTCAAACCCACAAAGACGTGCATTTTTAGGGCTTAAATAATTGGTCTGGCCCGGGTTTCTAAATCTCCTAAAATGTCCGGAATTCAACTTTTGCTTTCACTTCAAAAGCTTGTATGCATTGTTGCATTACACTTTTATTAAAGACCGCTTTCCACCTGGTTTCACAGGCGACAGCACAGATTAATTTATCTAAACGACTCAGAAAAAATTTACTATATACTTTGAGAGGCCGAAATGACATTTAAACTGGCTGCAAAATGTATACACCATTAGTAATGGTTAATCAATGCATTTGCCTTTTAAAAAAAAAAAAATACCCATTTTAATCTTGCAATTATGCAAGTATTATAAGTATTTTTTTTATTTCAGTCTTTCTTTAACAGTGTTTTTTTTTCACTTTAACCCATTAAAAAGAAACAATGTCATAATAAATACAATTATTATTAAAGAGAAAACTATATTTTGTTTGTCGCATATAGGTAACTATTTTTGTGACGTAAATAGTGTTTCAAACTGGCTACCACCGCATTTCATGTATGTGTATTACAAAATATCAGAGAAGATATTAGCTACATTCCAAATGACACACTACATAATATGCACACAAGCGCTTATATTTCCAATGGAAAAGTATATGAAGTTGGAACATTTTAAAGGATTTTTTTTTCTAAACCACAAATTCAAACTGTTTCAAATCAATGCTTGGACTGCTAGAAGTGTAAACATAAGTATAGTGCTCCATAGAGCAAAAATGTAGCCTTTATTTTAATACTAATCTTCAAATGTTTTGGTTTTCTCTACTTCTTTTATTTTTTTCAAAAATTGATAAAAGATAGGGATCATAATGATATTAAATAAATAACCTAACTGTTACCATCCCATAACCTTTGCATCGAAAATTTCTCCCCTTTAGCAATGTAATCAAATCTGCAAGCATCAAGTGCATGATGTGTTCAACTTATCACACTTTTTTTATCAGCTGAATAATTTTTAGTCCAAATATTTGAGGTGCACTTGTCCATTTTAAAATTATCGAGGTTGATGCACTGTTTATACTATTGATACCACAAAATGACACTGAATAATAATGTGTAAATATACAAATTAGAACACATTTATAGTATATACCTGATATGCTTTACCTGGGTGGGAATCCAGCAATTGACTCTGATTGGACAAGGAATTTTTTTGGGGAGCTGGAAAATGTTCTTGGACCTGGCAACCCTGATAGGCTCATACAAAACACCACAATTTCATTCATTCGTTTTCTTTTTGGCTTAGTCCCTTTATTAATCTGGGGTCGCAACAGCGGAATGATTCTACTCCATGATTCTATTCTACCATATATTCTACTCAGCGGATTGCCTTTTAGCTGCAACCCAGTACTGGGAAACACCCATACACTCTCATTCACACACACTCATACACTATGGACAATTTAGCTTACCCAAATCACCTATACCACATGTTTCTGAACTTTGAAACCGGAGCATCCGGAGGAAACCCATGCAAACACAGGGAGAACATGCAAACTCAGAACATGCCAACTGACCCAGCCGAGGCTTGAACCAGCATCCTTCTTGCTGTAAGGCGAGAATGATACCCACTGCACCGCCCCACATCCCAATTTGTCAACTATAATCAATTCCTGTAATCTAACTATGCGTTTCATTCCCTACACAAAGCCTGATCTGGGCAGTAAGTACACGGCGTGGTCTTCAGTGAGCACACTCATCCAGAAAGAGCTTGTGAAAACACACAATCCTGCCAGGTGAGATCTGCAATCACAGTCGTGGTTTTCCTACTTGACCTTGAGTTCGGTAGCTCTTCATCTCGCTTGATCATGTTATGTATTTATTATATTATGTATTTCAGGTATTCACTGACCGATCAGGGATTGTCTCTAGCAGAGAAGCTGGATTCAGAAGAGACGGGGACGCTTCATGAAGATGTGGACTCTCAGGATGGACAAAATGTTGTAGATTTGACTTTGGAGGAAGAGGATGAAGACGAGGAGAAGGAGAGCTGGTGAGTACAAGCAGGATGCCTTTTGTTTTGCCTATATTAAGCAGTTAACAGGTTTGATGACTTTTTGGATTTTGTCTCATGCTGTTATGAGTAGCAAAAGTCACCAATATTTAAGATTCTGTAAATATACTTTGCAGCTTTGGTTACTTTTGTTTACAAAAGTGCACAATTTTGAAAAAAGTTGACATTACTTTTTTGTTTTTCTGAGATCCATATTGCGATATCGATTTTACTTTTGTCCATATTTAAAAATGGGTCTTTTTTAAAAACTGGATTAATAAAATTGGATTAATTGGGATTAATTTTGCATCTGAATAAAATATAATAAACTAATCATTTTTAAATACAGCAAAGCAAAGATACAAATGAAATAAACAGTATTTCATGGTTTTCTGGGAGTCTAGCAGTATTCAGGCACAAATTAAGTAATCAAAAGTAAAATAACACTATAGTGTATCTATTGCATATGCATATAAATACAATTAATCGTTATTAAAGGTAAAAACATAATTTCTTGTGCTTAAATTATTTTTAAGTGAACAGAACTATAAACGCTAATAGTTTATTTAATGGTCTTCGTTGCACATGTTCCATGTACTTGCCTTTGTAACATCAACTAGCTCAGTTTGCCCTAAACTTAACCCTAACCATATGTACGTATGTGCAGTTAATAGCACTTACATTTATTTTAGGGCTGCAGGATATTGGAAAAAACTGACATTGCGATATTTTGTAAAAAATATAAAAACATGTATAAAATAATGCACGGATGAAAACAATAGAACAACAACATTGAGGCTGAGAAGTGCAATAATTAAATGTAAATTAACACTGTATAGCCTTTACAATTTATCTTTGTTAAAGTGACAGACTTTTGAATTTATTGTGCCCAAATGGTTTAAATTTGTTTAAAATCTTACAGTCACAGGGCTTAAAAATACATCAAACTGAAAGTCTTTCACACTATTATAACCTATTAGATTAGGTCAAGTTTTGTTAATCCAACATGATATTTCAGATCCTGCAATGTGACTATTGTAGATTTGCACATTGCTAAAACAATATCCCTAATTTATGTATAGTTACACTGCAACAAAGGTGTTAAAATGAGTAAATGAACACTTAAATTCAGGAAAGGCACTTAAAAATCCTTAAAAACGATCACTGAAGACATTTATGTTTTTTTTAAAAATTAAACTTTCTATTTATAAAAAAATTCTTAGTCTAAAAACAAAGCAGCAAAATAATTTTCATCATTAGCAGGGCTCGAAATTGCGACCATTTTGGTCGCATATGCGCCCGAAAATTAATCTATGCGACCTCATAATATATATGGGCGCATTAGTGCGACTGCAGATAATGGTTGTAGTGCGACCTGTTTTGATTTTTTCTAAAAACGTGCTGAATTGCTCTTCCCTGCCTATATTGGTTTATATAAGCCATCAATCACTCAAGGTATTCCGCTGTCAGATGACAGGGAAGGAGCTTTTATGACCACGGGAAATACAAACGGCTGAAGAGTGAAAACTTAAAGCACACAGGTTTGCAAACCCCACCTAAAGTTGAGGCGCAGATAAGAGCGATCATGACATGTGGTGAATATTGATCCGCCAGCTGAGATCAATCGAGTACGTGCTTTTCGGAGAAGGCGCCCGAATCTCGATGCGTTGCGTACACTGCGTGTTCAGCGCAAATGTCCGCTAAAAGTTAAATCTAATACTGTACATATCATCGCCAAAGAAGCTCGCCTTTACTAAGTTTACACTGAAACTGCGGCTCATAACAAACAGCGGTAATCCGCATTCCGCCGGTGGTCACCGCAAGAATCCTGCTCAACCTGCTCATAAATTGGGTCGGCTGACTCGCCTGCTTTTCAACTAACACAGTAAAATGATAATCAGCTCAGACTGAACATTTAAATTGACACAAACTGAAACTAAAACTTTTAAAGATTAATAGAAGTGAGACTTTACTTACTTTCTTTTGTCTATTCTTTCTTAGGGTGTATATATATTTTTTTTATTTAGTTACTGATGACTGTTTTGCAGCTTTCAGCCTTGAATTTAATTATTTATTATAATCTTTTGTTTGTTTTGTAGCAGAAATATTATTTATTAAACTGACATGCATATATAAACAGCAGTACAAAATAAATATTTCTTACTGCAATGCTTCATTTTTGTTTGATGCAAACTACATTTGTTTTTCATAAAGTAACAGACTTTTTATAGCAGAAAACATGCATTCAAGCACATTCAAGGCAGCATGATGATGACAAATGTAATTCATTGTTACTATTATTGTCATTTTCATCATCATTAATATTTTATATTTATTCGCCATTCATTTTGGAATTTTTACACACAAATATCAATGTCATCACAGCATTAGTTATAGTTGTTTCTGTTTTTTGTTAATCCTAATTGATGTTGTTTTAAAATACAATAAATCCCTTAAAATACGATTTGCAGCGGTGCTTAATCATTTTTGGTGGGTGCTCCTAAATTTTTTCTGGTGCTCCTAAAGTTTTGAAGTTGGGAGCACCGGTGCTACCAAATAAAAAAGTTAATTTCGAGCCCTGATTAGTAATGCTAGTGGAATTATTAATAAATGAGCAAAGGTAATTACTAATTACATGCTTCACAATGGTATTATATGGTGCTTATTTTACAGTAATGCAATCAAATAAATGCAGCCGTGTTGAACATGAGAAACATTTAAAAACACTAAACATCTTAATCATTCCGAAACGTTGACGGCAAAGTTTGTGATGCTGATGGTAGCAGGTTAACTGATCTATCATCTCGCAGGTCTTCAGAAAGGCCTGCAGTAGCTCTTCCTGTAAACCAGGCCAGAGGTCTGTCGTCTGAATTAGATCCCATGGGAAAGTCCCAGACGTCAGAAACCGGGAGGACAGCAATGGGTTGGCATCTCTCTCCAGGCTCTTATGACATTGTGCTGTGTGTTGACTTATGTGAGACAACAGGGTGAGAGCGGATAATGTCTTGCATATAGTACAAATATGTTTTTGTGAGCTCTGTGTTATACAACTGAATATAGCCTGTAGAGTTAAATGAGCTTTGCATGCTTTACTTGACAGAGGAAGCAGTGTTCGCAAACAGGAGCTGGTGAAGGAGCTGCAGAGGAACAGTGTGACGTTTGATGTCAGGAAGCTGAATGTTGGAGACTTTCTCTGGGTGGCGCGTGAGAGAGTGACACCTGTTCCTGGTAAAACTCGTGTGACCTTTAGTGTTTGACTGAGATGCAGGACTAGCTCATGACCAGCAGATGGCAGTGTTGCTCGGAACAAGTGATCTAGAAAGTGTATTAGGTCAAATGAGGTCTTTTTTTATTCTTCTCAACATTTAGGACGGATGCCAGTTTATTACTATTATTATTTCAAGAGATTTTGATTGAGATTACTACTAGTTTTTATTAATTATTTTAAAAAATGTTATTGTAGGTTTTAATTTTAATTTGACTTGCCTGGTTTAGTAAATTGTAAGTTTGTTGAATATGTTTACAGCTATGGAAGTATAAAGCTATTTGTGGTTTAAATGTGGTATGAAGCTATTTGTGGTTAATATGTGGATTTACAGGATTTATTACGTACAGCTTTCGTTAAAATGTTTTCTGATTAGTTTTATTCAATAAAAGTATGAACGTGCTGCAATTAAAGAAAACACATGCAATTACAAAAACCCAAACAAATAAGAAAGCGCCTGCATTTTCTCACAGCACATGCAAATAGGATGGAACACAACGGAAGTTTCAAGTGGACCCAAAAAATGTGACGGACCAGACTGGGATTTGCTTATTGTAGCGTGACTATTGCTCAGTGAAGTTGTAGGTGATCACTGAAAGGGGGTTTTATTGTTTATTTTAACATTCTTATTGCACAATCCCATGTTTTTTGTATATTATTATCCTAAATAGCCATAACCTAAATAGCTGGGTCCATCATGTTTTTGGGTCCCCTTGAAACATTTCCATTGTCTTCCATGCTATTTGCATGTGTTGCAAGAAAGTGCAGAGCGTTTTCTTAATTTATGTGCATTTGTGAGAAAGTGCAGCATGTTTTTAATGTGTTTGCTTTGATAGGATTTGCAAAAGGTATTCTGTTTTTTTTTTGTTTGTTTTTTTTTTTTTGGTGTCACTATTTGTCATTTGTCCATCAAATTACTAATCATATAAATGCATTAGTATGGAAAACCTAATTTTCAATAGGTTAGTCAGGTCAATTTACTTTTTTGTTTGGATAATAAAGGTTCCACTTCTATAAATCTCAAAAAAAAACTTTTTATTGTGTTTACAGGACAGCTGCGTCCACCAGTTGGAAAAGAGCTGGTGCTTGATTACATCATAGAGAGGAAGAGGATGGATGATCTATGTGGAAGCATTATAGACGGACGCTTCAGAGAGCAGAAGGTTTGAGCCAAAAAAAAAAACCGCAAGATGATGTCGTTTTCAGCCCTATCTTGGGTGTCATTTGTCATAATTGCTGACTTCTTATCAATTAGAAATTATCAGACAGAAGGTTTTAAATATCAGAAAATAGACTTTATTCTTCATAATAAGGCCGAGAAAGTGCAGAGCAGACCTCAGAGCATTCTGAAGTCTCTCCTGGACAATTCCTAAAGTCTCTGTGTTTTCCACAATCTTTATAAAGATTATTTGACACACCCCTAGGTGTCTCGTTTTAACTCCTGACCATCCTTGGATAAGTTTTTACTCTAGGTGGTCCTGTTATTCTTGGATCTCTGCCAGCTTGCTACAGCCAGAGATGTCATAGATCTATGTCAGCAACTGTTTTGACAACAGAGCATAGATGCAAAAGAACTAAGTGTTTACATACATTGTCACGATAGCATAATAACTTGATAATATGTTACTCACTCTGGCTTCTGACACATATAGTTTCATATGAATGTTTAACAGATAATCAATGCTTTACATATTCAGTTATTCTACATAATCAGTCATTCTTCAGCTAAACCTTCTCCTAGTGTTGTTCATGTGCAGGCTTCTCATTTTACACAAACCCAGTTTAGCCTGGCTCATGCCTGGCTCATGTTTACTGCATACTTTTTGAAAATATAAACTTAAAGAATCCCACATACTGAGAGAATAAAAAATATCTTCTTCAATGACTAAAACAAAAAATGAAAATGACAGCCAAAGCTCATTGGAGATGCATGCCTCATTTTTGGAAACATTAAATACATTGATCTGGGTACGTTTTGCCATACTTTTTTAATTGACACGTCCTAGAAAGTGCTGTTTACATTTTTGCGAATCTGAAACACCTTAGTTTTTTTTGGTACGTTTCAAATACACGTCCTCTTTGTATACATCCACGAGAAGATCAAGTAGCAAACCACTGACATGTACCCAACCAATAGTGTTTTCAAAACCAAAAGTGCTCTGCAAACATGTGGTTTTACCTTGATTTTACATCGCTTTTATTTATTTTGTGAAACCATGCTTTACCTGAAAAAAACCGCTCTGCATCACATGTACAACATTGTATAAAGTGAGTTACAGACTGTCACGGCTTGGTTTAAAAGCCATGACAAATTAGAGGAGGACATAAACTGGTGGTCTGGTGCCGATTAAAAAAAAAAAAAAACATTTAGTTATTTAAAAATAAAACACAAATAAGAATTTTAAAATAGAAATAATCAAATGCTCAAACTTAGCCACCAAGTACAACTGTTAACCAAAACTAAAGCTAGAAATGGACTTAACAGAACAGAACAGATGTGTTCAGAATTCGATGGATGAGTCTCCTAGTCCCACACGCTGGCCGGCCAAAGCAGGAACAACGGAGACTCGTCACACCGACCATGCAAGAATAGTTGTCAATATTGAGATGGATAAGTTTGGCAAACGAATTTAATTTTAAATCACACTTAAGTTGTTTTGTGGTATATATTTGGTGTTGTGCAAAGAACTGGATTAAAACAGTCCTGTATTCTAAGATAATAACTTGTAAATATTATTAGTGTGAAAAGGAGCAAAAGTTGTTGGCATCATACTGCACTGTAGTGTTCATTTGCCCTCAAAACTGCAGTCATGCGTATGTCGAAGTATGTTTTTACGGTTTCATAAAAATGTAGGCCGAAATACGCGTCCAATGTGCCTGTGTTGGCAAATGAGCCTTGATTCTCAGTTGTCCTGTAAATGGTTATTTGTAGCTTTCTTCGTATGTGTTTTATTATTTTACTGCTTTTGTTCTCAATTGTCTTGTCATCCTTAGTTTCGACTGAAGAGATGTGGTCTGAGAAAGCCCATTTATCTAGTGGAGGAATGTGGATCAGCGGCTGCTCATCTCAGTATACCAGAGAGCACATTACAACAGGCTATAGTCAATACACAGGTGAACAGCACACCACAGAGACGGCCATGCAGTGGTGAATGATGAGGAACTGATTGTATTCGTTGTATTATTCACAGGTGGTTGACGGCTTCTTTGTGAAGCGTGTGCAGGATGCGAAGGAGTCGGCTGCTTACCTCACCATCATGACCAGATACCTCCAAAAACTATACCAGGTTGCTTTTAAAGTCTACATGAAATCAGAATGTAATGTTTTCCAAAAGAGGGTTATGATGTGTCATCAGCATCTTGAAGGCTTTTTTTTTGTATGTACATTAAAAAAGCTATAAATGTGCAACATCACACTAATAGAAGTGCTATATAGCTGTATATCGGCATTCTCTAGCGTAATGTCTAAAGTGATGACAAAACAGGTGATTTTGCTCACGTTTTAAGATTATAAGGCTGAACGGCATGAAATATCCTCAGTCTAGAGACATATCCCAGTATTTCTATGTTGCAATCAGGATATCACAATAATAACTACAGATTACTGTTGTGTTTACAATATGGAAAAGTGCTAAACACATGCAGGCATTTCTTCTTTCTTTTTGTTTACTGAACTTGTCTGCAGTAACGAAAACAGGAGACTCATTTGAAACAAACAGATGGCCAACCAAAAAGTAACTCAGGGTTATACAAAGAGTTGCTAACACAAAATGCATACATTCTTGATATGTGAGTCCCATCTCACACTCAACACACTACCATTACTATGGTATAAATACAGCACTGTAACGTACTGTAAGGTCCACCCAGTTGGCCCAATGCCGGTGTCCACTGGTGGATGAAGGTTCACTGCATGTTCGGTCTTTCCAGTGCACAATGTTGATTTATATTAAACTTAACTCATATCTGACTCCAATTTTAGTATGAGGTGGTTTAGAATATTAATATATTTATCCTCGTTTTATCTGACTCCAATTATAAAACATTAAGAAGATTATATCAATATGTAATTTAGATAAATGTTTGAACCTTTTGTCTTCACTAGTAACTATTACATCCGTTCATTCGGGTGCTCATGTCGCTCAGAGAAATCGCCTCGGCCGAAGGCGTCCCTCACGGTCACACTCCGGTCAGTCTTGAATATTAAACAGAGGTAAATTGACTAATACTTTAGATGGCCGCTACCAGCGCGCTCGTTCTAAAATACTTTAGTTAGTCCCGCTTAGATGTACACCTTTGAGTTAAGACAATCATCATTTCTAATTAGAGGTTAGGGCATTAATATAAATGTACCCGACTACTGGACTCTATAGTAACTTTGGTTTTCACCAAGCCCATGGTTTCCCATATGAACTTAATTTAGAATAATATTACCTTCAAACAAAGGTCGGGTACCCAATCTAGGTTAGTCGTGCAACACCTTGTTGACCTAGACGGAAGTTATCGCCCTTTCCACCTAAGTACACATGAATCAATACCAAGAGTCAGCCGGATCCCTAAAACACAATTAGTGTGCCAATGCTCCATCTCAATTGGATTTTAGTCCGTCTACTGACCTGACGCAAGACGTGCGGAAACAAGGATACAGCGTAATCTACTTGAATTAATAATTACAGAGTGAGCAAAATATGGTCAAACATTACAATTTATTAGTCAGGTAAATGTATTATGCCAATTCAATCAGTCAATTCATAAATGATCAATACAAAACATCAAATTATCAAAGATAAATCCAAGATGAAAAAGATGCATTCCTGACTTTGAAATTTACATAACATGGGCAGACCCCATGTTATGGGCTGATCTGGTTAGGCAGAATCGCCCTGAGTCCTTCTTAGGCCTTACCTTAAATAATCCAAGAATTCCCTCAAGGAAGGGGGTGTGAATAACAAAGAAGGCATTCACACTTAGGCCCCGTTTACACTAGTGCGTATTAGTTTTCAAACGGCGTTTTAGAATGAAAACGATCCGCGTCCACACTCGCGTTTTACCCAGCGTTTCTGAACTGCTCTCCGTCCACACCAAAACGCTGAAAACGCACATCACGTGACCACACACACACACTTTGGCAATCGCTGGAGCCCATCTACCCAGATGAGAGCTCTGCTAGTCGGACTTCTCATCAAGCATCTCCCGCTGGATCTACTCTCACTATATTTATTAAACGTGATATTTCATTCATCTTGTTGTCTTTATCTAACGACATATTCCCTGACTTTGGTCACTGGAATCTATTACTTGTTCTCAGGTAACGTGTTTTGGCTGAGCGCAAAGATAAGTTAATGATTAATGAAACCACGTAGCCTACATTCTGTATATTGACTGATCGCTTGCCTTTATTTCCTATAATGTATAAACTTATTGTATGTTATACTTTTATAATGGCCATTATCGATTATTAAAACTGATATTCAGCAAAAGAGAGGGTGTGTTTCGTATTTTCACTGAAATTGAAAGGAGGCAGTTGTTATCGGCTCCGTTTTGTTATAAATATGCACACAGTGAAGATGACTCTCATGCAGCACGACGCCTCAACATTTCTGCTGTCTGTTTAGTTGTTAATATTAAAATAAAAATAGGCAGTTCCTTATATCAAGTTTACATTTTATTGTTGAGAAAGTGAAACAACGTAGCCAAGGTGATGTGAATGAAGTTATAAAGTACACTGTTCCCTGTGAAGATTGACGCGTGTCCTCGGTATGTTTTCCATATCAAACTGAGAAGAAGAGATGCAGCCTTGATCAAACTTGCGAAGTCTGAACTTACACGGAGAAGATTCAGGACTGAACTGTGTGTTAGGCTACTTAATATTGAGGAAAAGCCCCAATCAGAGAGGCGAATGTCTGCAGCCCCGCCTCCGTTTTCAGATATCTCCGTCTTTCCCCATCCACACTGAGACGGAGCTGCAGCGTTTTAGAATGAAAACGGCCTCTCCAGCGTTTTCGAAACGCTCCGTTTTCGGCGCTCGAGAACTCCGGCGTAGTGTGGACGGATGGCGTAACCGTAGCAAAACTTATGCGTTTTCAAACTAAAACGCATTAGTGTAAACGGGGCCTTAGTGTTACACCTCTCACAGTGGTTCAAAAGATGCCTGAAGTTATATATTTATTGTTCTGATTATGTCTATTTCTGAGAGAATGAGACCATTGTACCAATCGCACTGAGACATTTCAAATGATATCAAACATGATAGTTAAAGTCAGTTTGGTTAATCTAAAACATTCAAACATTGAAATGACCATATGCGTAAATTGGGGGGATGAAGCTGAGTCTCAGCATAGTCAGATGCAAATGCAGCAGGAACTGGTTTTTCCCGCATTCCTCCCTGGTGGGTTGTGAAGTCACCAGTCTCTGTTTTCAGCTCATGTTTTGAATTGTCAAAGATATCAGAATATTTGCAATATTTCAATTCTTACAGATAACCCCCATTTGATCCCGTGGGTCAGATATAAATGTGTCCATGGGGTCACTATGTATCCTTGTTGAGGTCGTTCAGGGGCAATTCAAGACAGTCTCTGCAGCATTATCAGTTGTAAGTCGTGTTCAGCAGGTAGCTAAACAGGTCCAGGCTCGTTTTCACCTCTTTTGAGGAGCCTGACCCGAATGCACTGCTCATTCAGTCCATACAGGCCTTCATAGCTTCCACTGTGTCCTTCCCCTGACAAAAGTGTCCACGTCGTGTGGGCTTCTCATAGTCTGCTTCTTCTGATGAATCTGGTCACCTCCAGATATGCAGACATCGGCATGTGGGGGTCTACAGTGTGTATACACTGCCTTCTCTCGGACACCTAAACAGCAACTTGATGGCTCAGCGATTGAACAGTTATGAACTTGTGTCATTCTGCATTGGAGAAAGTCATGAGGTTAAGCATAAAATATATGATCAAAACATAAAAGTCAGCAAGTGCGAGTCGTACAACTGGTCTCAGGTCTCTTTCAATCTGTTTAAATGGTCCAATCAAAAACAGATAAGTCTTTGTCACCACTGAGATAGGGTATAATGATAGGGAGAATATTAAATATTCTTGGTTTGAATTACTCAAGGTAAAGCTATCAAAAGGTCAGTGCAACTTATTAAAACAGTATAACAGGCAGTATGCATCATAAAACATATCATCATGACAATACATTCAAATAAATGACATTCATTTTCAAAATGAAAAAACGTGAAGATATTTGTCATACATGATAGTAATCACATTATTTAACCATAATTATGAAGGTATATCTATAATAATGTGTGTGTTTGTGTGTGTATGTTGTGTGGTGTGTGTGTGTGTGTGTGTGTGTGTGTGTGTGTGTGTGTGTGTGTGTGTGTGTGTGTGTGTGTGTGTGTGTGTTTGTGTGTGTTTATGTGTGTGTGTGTGTGTTTGTGTGTGTTTGTGTGTGTGTGTGTGTGTGTGTGTGTGTGTGTGTGTGTGTGTGTGTTTATGTGTGTGTGGGGGGGCTTGAACACAATTGATGGTATTTGTCAAATTTGAATGTCCTAGTGATTATTAGAAGTGTCCTCACTTCGGTTTAATTTTAATCACTTTAGCACTTCTACCTGTTATTGGTGATAGATTGGAAAACCAGGGGCCCTCTGGTTTGTCAACCATCCCCACACCAGTCAGTGTAACTATTCTTGAATTTATTGGCAAGTTCGCCTCTATTGAAATTTTATACCATCAATTTGTTGTCAAAGCCATGCAAATGTGTAATTTCTTTTCAGCTGACAGAGGGTGTCAGAGGGTGTTTGTTGTCTCGTCTGTCATCAGATTAATTATTCTGTTCTATGTGTGTGAGGCTAATGTGTTTTGTTCGTATAAACATGGACAAAAGATCTTAACTAAAGAGATTTGACTCCTGGGTCTTTGAAGACTAAGGTGTTATCTATGTGCCTGGGTTTACCTGTGGCTATGTGTCAGTGTAATGCTCCGAACAATGGTAATCAACTTTTATAATTGTGTTGCAAAATTTTAGTCCTGTCTTAGCAGGGAGCCAGCATAAGAATGTGAACATGAGGTGTGTTCCGGCTCAAATTGATTCCATATAATATCTTTTACGGAGCATTTTAAGGTGCAATGTTCAAAGCTGGATCCTGTAAAAAATGCATTTTCATGGTTAATTTAATTATCACACTCTATACTCCTGTTTGTAGTTCAAACTGCAGCTATACAGGGGATAGCAGAGTTTTCTACTTTTGGAGATCAAAGCATGAATTTCAACATAGTTAATTCCATTTTCATACAGGACATGTGGTTTAACATGTGTATAGTATAAAAACAAATTTAAAAATGCCACCAGGATTCGTGACAATAGAGTCTGTTGCTATTGGTCTTTGCAGGAACAAGGCAGTAAAGTTCTTTATCGCCTCTAGGTAACCAGGGTTTTAGTCCCATTGCTATTAAGCAATTTGGGAAGATTTTAACTATGAGATCTTTCATGTCTCTGTTTAACATATAATAATTTGCATCTTAGTTGAAGTAAGATGTTTTGTGAAATCACAAAGCCTCCTACAGTGCTGAATCCATTGATAAGATCAGCTGTGGATAATTGTTATTCTGATGACTGATCAAAGACTTTTTTCAGAGGACTCACTGCAGGTGAGGTGTTAGCACCACAGGGGTTCTTGCTTTGAGATGCAAGATGGGAGACTTTTGGCCTCAGGTTATGGCCTAACCTTTTGTTGCCCTCATTTGTATTTGTTTGATGTGGACCGGATCTGGAGTGTTCTTTGTTATTGGTCCGCCTAAGGTGAGAACAAAAGCAGAGAAGAACCATAGTTATTTTAGAATTTTCATCAGTTTCAAATTCAATCATGTGGAATTAATGTTAATGCATCATTTTGCAATATTAATTCTGGAAGCCACATGATGTTGCTGGTCAGATCTGTGAGTGTGTAACACCTGTTTACACAGTCTGCTGTATTCTGAGCATTATCTCCCAGTTCCGCTGGGGACATTTTTCTGAATCAATCAATGATTTTTTCATTAATTTCAGTTCACAATCTAATGGGCCGATACCCATAGTTCATTTTTTTGCTCTCATTAACAGTCAGATCTGTTGGCAGAAATCATTTCACCCTTTTGGTGTTCTCTGCTTAACGGTTGTCATTTTATGGTGTGACTCACAGATTCTTAGATCTTTTGACCCATAAAAACTTTGGTAACTCTGAATGTTATCATATCCATCCCCCTTTCATTATTTTTCTGGTGAGTTTAACTCTCTGATCAAATTTTAATTGTAGGTGGTGTTTTTTCAGCGAGGATTAAATTGGTTTACAATCAGTTATGCTATAGTAGTTCTGTCAGTGTTTTCATTAAGCATAAAGAAAGCAAACCTCCTCAAGATGGATGTTTCATCTTTAGTCTTTAGTGCCATGATTGGCGATTATAATATAATGTACATTATTGTTTATTCCTAATGTAATTATATTATATTAAAATAGTATGTATTAAATATAATTACATCTGGTCTCTGGAGAGTGTTTTAGAACACAGTGCATTGTTTTATGCAATTACAGCAAACACATTCTGAGCATCTTATTATCACTGAGGTGAGACTTCTTTGCTCTCTGTCAGGCCATTTGAATATGAAAAGGTTTGAGCAATCAGGAGGTATAAGGGCTTATTTAAAGCTAAAATCTTTTATATTTAGTCTGTTTCGAGATTAAAGTATAGTGGATATTTTAATTGATCAGCATCATATTTGAATTTATCCCCATTAAATTTAAATGGCAAATTTCTGATTTGTAAAAGCAGAGTTTTCATTAGAGCTTATTTGTCTTTTTTGCAATCAAATCATTCTGTTCTGCTCACCTTTATTTTTCACATGCAAATGCCTTTAAACAGACTGTTGTTATTAATCCAATTTAAAAGTTTACAATTGTTTTTAAATCTTAAACCATTTTTTTCCTGTTTTCCTTTTTTCCATTTTTCTCTTTTTTATAAAACAGTAGATTTAAAACAATGGATAGTTTTTGATTTAAACTTTTAGGATCTAATTTATGACTCTCCACTGAGTCCCAGAATATAATTTGGATGATGTTATTCCAATTTTAAGCTTCAACTCTTGCTGCCTAGCAGACAAAGAGATTTCAGAGCAAGGGATGGCATTTATCTATACTGCTGCTATCATGTCCCTGATAATCAAAGTGGTTTTGTCTAATTCTCAACCCCACCGGATAACGCATTCCGGTCTAACATTTTTGAGCATTTCCGACTCATTCTATCAATGTGTTTATAAAGGGTGCGTCCAGCTTTCCCTCAACATTTCTAATAGGCAAAGAAGAATTGACTTACCACAGCAGCTGAAGATAGAATAGAAGATCCAAACCTCTTGCTTGAAATAAATCCATTTTGTGCTGGAAAGACGTAACTCGCCTGAGTTGGGAGATCACGGAGATGGGTCACCATTTTGTAGGGTCCACCCAGTTGGCCCAATGCCGGTGTCCACTGGTGGATGAAGGTTCACTGCATGTTCGGTCTTTCCAGTGCACAATGTTGATTTATATTAAACTTAACTCATATCTGACTCCAATTTTAGTATGAGGTGGTTTAGAATATTAATATATTTATCCTCGTTTTATCTGACTCCAATTATAAAACATTAAGAAGATTATATCAATATGTAATTTAGATAAATGTTTGAACCTTTTGTCTTCACTAGTAACTATTACATCCGTTCATTCGGGTGCTCATGTCGCTCAGAGAAATCGCCTCGGCCGAAGGCGTCCCTCACGGTCACACTCCAGTCAGTCTTGAATATTAAACAGAGGTAAATTGACTAATACTTTAGATGGCCGCTACCAGCGCGCTCGTTCTAAAATACTTTAGTTAGTCCCGCTTAGATGTACACCTTTGAGTTAAGACAATCATCATTTCTAATTAGAGGTTAGGGCATTAATATAAATGTACCCGACTACTGGACTCTATAGTAACTTTGGTTTTCACCAAGCCCATGGTTTCCCATATGAACTTAATTTAGAATAATATTACCTTCAAACAAAGGTCGGGTACCCAATCTAGGTTAGTCGTGCAACACCTTGTTGACCTAGACGGAAGTTATCGCCCTTTCCACCTAAGTACACATGAATCAATACCAAGAGTCAGCCGGATCCCTAAAACACAATTAGTGTGCCAATGCTCCATCTCAATTGGATTTTAGTCCGTCTACTGACCTGACGCAAGACGTGCGGAAACAAGGATACAGCGTAATCTACTTGAATTAATAATTACAGAGTGAGCAAAATATGGTCAAACATTACAATTTATTAGTCAGGTAAATGTATTATGCCAATTCAATCAGTCAATTCATAAATGATCAATACAAAACATCAAATTATCAAAGATAAATCCAAGATGAAAAAGATGCATTCCTGACTTTGAAATTTACATAACATGGGCAGACCCCATGTTATGGGCTGATCTGGTTAGGCAGAATCGCCCTGAGTCCTTCTTAGGCCTTACCTTAAATAATCCAAGAATTCCCTCAAGGAAGGGGGTGTGAATAACAAAGAAGGCATTCACACTTAGTGTTACACCTCTCACAGTGGTTCAAAAGATGCCTGAAGTTATATATTTATTGTTCTGATTATGTCTATTTCTGAGAGAATGAGACCATTGTACCAATCGCACTGAGACATTTCAAATGATATCAAACATGATAGTTAAAGTCAGTTTGGTTAATCTAAAACATTCAAACATTGAAATGACCATATGCGTAAATTGGGGGGATGAAGCTGAGTCTCAGCATAGTCAGATGCAAATGCAGCAGGAACTGGTTTTTCCCGCATTCCTCCCTGGTGGGTTGTGAAGTCACCAGTCTCTGTTTTCAGCTCATGTTTTGAATTGTCAAAGATATCAGAATATTTGCAATATTTCAATTCTTACAGTACAAAAGAAGGAGATCGACTTAGAATGTCACTCACCAATTTTATAATGAATTGATCAGCTGTAGTTTGAAAATACACCAATCTTTCGTCTTCTAACCGTGCGTTCATACCGAAGGCGGCGAGAGCGTCAAAGTAGCTAGAAGTCATTCATTTTTAATGGCAGCCAGCCGCGAAGAGGATCTCGGCACATGTTCGCCAGTGTGGGCATCTAGGACAGTTGAAATCAAGTCAACTACATGGTAATGAGCTATGACATGGTTCAGCGGCAATCAGTCGGAATGCAGAAGTCCACCGCTTGAGAGAAGTCCAGATAACACAGTCCTGTAAACTTTGGTTTCAACCACAGTTGTTCCCAAGGATTTTAGTATTGCAGTCGCCAGATTTCCAATTATTTACAATGTTTTTAAAAAAAAAAGTTACTGGCGAGTTACTGACGGGCATTATTGTTATATGTTTCTTAAACAGGAATTTTTGTTTACTAACGACAGTACAAAACAATATTGCTGCTTCAGAATATTTCAGACTTATGGACACTTATTGGATAAGTGCAGCAAAGCCACACATGAAACAATAATAACAATATATATTTTCAAACTCGTAAATAATGTTGAAGCCATTTTATGATGACATTTACATTCTTCCTCACCGCTGTCAAAGTTTATAATTGGACATTTACCTAATACAGGGGTCTCAAACTCCCGTCCCGCAGGCCATTTATTACCCGCCCTCCACCTCCCTCCGGCCCGCAACTGCTGTCAAAATATAACGAGATTGGCCCCCTCAGAGCATATGTTTTTGAATTACTATCATTATTGTGCTGTCCCGTATGGCCACTTGTGGTTTTGATTTTTATCGTGACAGGCCTACATCAGAGCAGCATGTGTTATTGTTTTTTTTGTTATATTTATTATGAAGTTTGCTTTTTTATCTTCAGAACTGCACATTATTCTGCCGCTCCCGAGAGCTGGAGGGTGATGGGGAAGCTGAGAGCGAGAAGATGGTGGCGAATCTCTCCTGTTCTCTCATGGCCTTCACTGAATTTAACTACGGGGCTATTAAGAACAAGGTAATCTAAAACAGATCAATGGACATGTTGAGAAAGTGTGGTTGCATTAATATAAATAATAGCCTATGTCTTGTAATATTTGCTGATATTATTACTAATATGACATATGACAATATCGACAATGACTTTGAATATAGGAGCGACTATATTCAAAATAGAAGATTTAGCAGAATAGTAGTTTATTGTTAGCTAAGATTCCAGAGATATTTACTCTGCTAAAAAGAGCGACATTTAGATGAATATACAGTGCTCAGCACAATTGAGTACTCCCCATTTTGAAAATTAATGTTTTTATCCATTTCTGAGTGAATATAGGCAATGTATTTTGGTGCATTTAAATAAAACAGATTTATTAAGCATATATATTTATTAAATTAATATTTTATTCACCAAACATATTTAGAAACTAAAAGATTATACAATTAAATTTAAGCAAATTTTTCACTTTTTATTTTTTACTTGATTTTTCTTTTTTTTTTTGTTATTTGTATTTAATATTTTTCTATAACATAAATTTGGTTGTTCTAGTTTTTGGACCGTTATCTTAAGTTATTTTGTTAGATAAGCTCCAGATTTGGCTTCAGTACTGACTAATCTAATGTTCAAATAGAATATTGTATAGCTTCCTATTACAAATATGAATTTAAAAGAGAGATTTGTGAGGGTTGTACGTTGTAAGTTCTGCATTTCTGCTCAAAACAGGTCATTACTGGTTTAAAACAAGTAGCTTTTGTGTATTTGAAAAACAGAATTAGTCTTGCTTTCAACCCTTTAGCTGGTACTGTCTTCCTGACATCACTCTAAGCTAATTTAGATAATTTTTTTCATGGTAACCTGTGCACAAAAGGTTAACCAGCAGTTATGATGCCTGTCAAAGTGTTCATTAGAAATAAAGCAGCTCTTTAGTGCTTTTTCATTTAACTCGCTGAAATTTTTCTGCTATTATTGAGCAGAATTTTGTAAAAAAAAAAATAATAATAATAATAATACAAATAAGGATTTATGTGAAATAACTCAATGAATATAGTTACAACTAAAAACTCATATCATGAAAGATAAATATATATATTTTTTTACTTTTATTTAAGGTTTACTTATATAGTGTATCTATGAAATGACAGAAAATATTATTTGCAAACTGTATTGTAGATAAATCATAGAAACATCTGCATATTGGGTAATAAAATTACTGAACTTAATATAACAATTGAATGAATATATAGTTACACACATTAAAGGTCCAATGAAGTGCTTTGTGCTATTTGAAATTTGACATACATTTAAAGTCAGATTTTTTAGCCCCCATTTTTTTTTATATTTCCCAAATGATGTTTAACAGAGCAAGGAATTTTTCACAGTATGTCTGATAATATTTTTTATTCTAAATAAAGTCTTAATTGTTTTATTTCGGCTAGAATAAAAGCAGTTTTTAATTAAAAAAAAACATTTTAAGGTCAAAATTATTAGCCTCTTTAAGCTATATTTTTTTCGATAGTCTACAGCAAAAACCATCATTATACAATAACTTGCCTAATTACCCCAACCCACCTAGTTAACCTAATTAACATAGTTAAGCCTTTAAATGTCACTTTAAGCTGTGTAGAAGTGTCTTGAAAAATATCCAGTAAAAATGATTTATTGCCGTCATTGCAGAGATAAAATAAATTAGTTATTAGAAATGAGTTATTAAAACTATCATGTTTAGAAATGTTGAAAAAGTCTGCTCTCCGTTAAACAGAAATAAACAGGGGCGAACAATTCTGACTTCAACTGTATACTAAACTGAAACATAAAAGAAGGGTGGGATATTTAGTAGCTCCTCCCCTTTTATAAAAAGCAGCCAATACCTGTCAGTGAGTGGTTGAGATCAAGAACATCAAATTAGAAGTGTCTTGAAAGGGGCGGGACATGTAATATAGTAAAGAGCATTTGATTGGTCAGAAGATTTGATGAGAAACTGAATTGCAAGGTGGAGGATCCATTTAAGTGAAAGTGACAAACTGCAAGTCTTGGATGTCTATATCCTAAAAATGTGAATTTTGTCACTGTTTTGGGTCTCACTAGCTTATAGATATCGTTTACTAACATATTGTTAATATCTATAAAAAAACTTTTAGTGGTACGAAAACTTTAAAATAAAGATTTAACGTGGGCCTACTGATGCCTATGCTCAACAAACTGAACAGAGAAAATTAAGCAGATTACAAAATTAAAGTCATGGGTGGAAGTGAGTGTCCAATACATTTCCAGTGTCAACCAATACTGATCAAATTATGTAATGATCTTTATTGTTCTAATTGTGCCTCTATGTGAATTAAAGCATTTCTATTCAGTCTCCCTCTTTCTCATTCAACACAGTGCCAGACAGTGCGTGAAGTATTTGCGCGACAGCTTATGCAGATCAGTGGAGTGTCTGGTGATAAAGCAGCCGCTGTTCTTGAGCACTACAGCACCGTCAGCAGGTGTGATTCACTCTCTATTAGTGCAGAAACACTCGCTCATTAAAACTCATTTACATGCCACTATCACACACACTTACTCATTCAATTACTGCATGCCGGTTCACTCTCACAGACACACACACTGTTTAAAGCACTCATTTACATTCCACTCTCCCAAACATTTATTGCATAACAGTTGATCTGTAACACATATGGATGGCAAAGATGTTAATTTACTCACTGGTACTTTGCTTTATTGTTTTTTAACTCTAGTTTATTACAAGCATACGACAAGTGTTCCAGCGAAACAGAAAAGGAGAAGCTTTTGTCATCTGTCAAATATGGAAAACTCAAAAGGTTTGGTTTTGTTTCTACCGATTATAAAGTTATTCAATGCTTTGTTTTATTTCTTTCTCTCCACTTGATAATTGTATATCGTACTGTATTTGTAAGGTTACACTCTTAGAAATAAAGGTACAGAAGCTGTCCCTAGGATGGTATCTCTTCAAAAGGGACACATTTTGGCCCATTTCCACTGAGTGGTACGGGTCACCTGTATCAGGCTTCCGTTTCCACTGGAAGTATCTCCTGGAGTCACACAGGAATGTTATTTATCTGGCTGTATATCTTATCAGCAAAGAGAAAGCGACACAAAATTTACCATTTCACCATCTTACAAGTGACCTGAAGGTCGGTTTTGAATGAATAGTGAAAATAAAATGGGATATCAGAACCCATCATTTTCAGCTAAGGGTAATGGCATTAGTTAGCTAACATTTTCTTTCCCAAGCACAGGTTTTAGATGCCATTTATCAAACTCAAGTTAATGAACTGATTCTTTCACTATATTGAACTTTTCATGAAACTGAATTTCGTTACTGAAATTTATAAAAAGCGTCAATTTCATACTAACGTTTAAGGACTGTTTAACAGAACACTGCTGATTTGCCATTGTGTTCACTGGTGCTCAACAGAAATGATTGTGATTGGCTGTGAAGGTCATCAGTTCACTGCACTTCACCGATGTTTACTGAGTGCAAACACAGATGAGCGATCAGCTGGGGGTTTATGTTTACAGTGCTGATCCTATACTTCTGGGTTTCTCCCCACCGCAGCCTCGCTTTCGTGTTTTAAAATGGCACCGCGTGAAATAAGCGTATTGTACTTTGGTGGGCGTGGTGTTTGACAGAAAGGTTCAGTGGACGTCATTCTCGCTTGAGGAAATGTCAAAGTAAAGCTGTACGGGTTGTTTACAAATCATATGAGAAGCACTTTTCACAAAACAGATGCTTTATATACATAAAAACTTCTGTATTAATGTTCAAAATGTCAAACGTACATGAGAGAGCGAAACCGCTCACGCTTTAGATGGCGTTGTAAAAAAACTATGGGGCACAGGGTAGATACTGCTCTTCTTCTTGGCTTTGTGGCTGTTCATCAAGACCATGACAAGGTTTTTTGAGCTTGGGTCGATCATGGCTCGTTATTATATTTATATATTTTTACAGTGTAATGTCTCGGCTGGGTTTTAAAAATTGTAGTTCCTTTGTTTTCATTCTCCGGGCTTGTTGCACGAGCGAGTGATGCATCTCTGTAAACCAGTAGTGTTCAGTTGCGCGTCTTGCTCTGCCTTTTGCTACCCTTTTGTTGTGCTAGGTACCCTTTGCAAATAGTACTCAAAAAGTGATACGGTATGGTTCGCTTTTAGGTATCATTTGACAGTGGAAACGGCCATAAAAGCATACCGAACCATACCACTCTGTGGAAACGGGCCATTTTAAGGGAGCTTATTGGTTCTTTGAAAGGAAATCTTTTGAAAATGTAACCCCAATGAGTGACAGCCTTTGTACCTTTTTTCTGAATGTGAAAATAACTTAGTTTTAATTTTCAAAAAAGTCTGATATAGGGATGTAACAATTCACCGTGAGCCGGTTGAAAATCGATTCAATAATGTGACTATTTGAATTGGTACAAATGTTAAAAGAATCACGATACATGTTTTTAAACAGAAGAGGGCGCTGTGTTTACGGTCGCAAACTCGCTTTACTTGCACATCAGTGGCGAGCAAGAGGTGGGGCAGCAGAGTAAAATGACAGCGATGAAGTGCGGCAGATAAAACTTACTGTGTGCAAATACTGCGAAAAGACGTTTACTTACACTAACAGAACAACGAATATGATGCACATAAACTGTCAACACAGTTAAAAACTACTGTCACAGAGGTCTATAAGCAAAACAATATTATTAAGACAGACCAGGCAGACTGGATGAGCTGCAGCTCCACATGCTCCGACGAGTGTTACGGAGATCACACAGTGCAGCAGTGTTTTCATAGCGAAAGTGTGACGATGTTTTTCAGACTGAAAGAGAAAGCTGTTCTGTTACAGAAGCAGGTATTTGATTATTTTTACCCTCCCATTTTTAATTTAGTTTATGCATCTTTAATAATTTGCTTATTATTTTTAAATATTTATAAATTTTCAAGATGATCTCTTAACTGTATCACACTGATACTTTTTCTAATTAATTTAGCGAGCAATATTAATTATTCACCTTAATAATTATGTTCAACTCCTGTCTTTATCCTACTATATTAGTCAATTTATAATCTTTTTTTTTTTTTATGCCAGTGGTCAGTCCCCTGAAGCAGAGGGCTTATTGACCACCTCTGTATACACACTGCACTCTGGTTTAGGAAAGGCTTACCTCTCCACACCAGCCATCTCAGTCTCCTTTGAAAGAGTTTTTTCCTCAGCAATGGTTATTGTAAATGTGCAAAGACCTCAGCTTGTGTCAAAAATATAGATATGCTGATATTTCTTTAAAAAAAGTGAAATCCCAGCACGGTCACAGTTTTAGTTTGTTTATAGTAATGAGTCCTCTTTAGTTTGTATTATTATTATTTCTTTGGAATTTGTTTTTAAAATAGCAATTTGGTTATGGCAGAAAATATATTATTTTGCTAAAGAATGTGCTGCATTTAAGAAAAAAATGAATGAGCTCTTCACCTTAAATTTGTTTCAAATCATTTTAATAAATCGTGAATCGTGAGATTAGTACTGTGAATTGTATTGAATCGTGAAACGGTACATGCATTAAAATAAAGAAACTATCATACATTTATTTTTTAAATGCTTTTCAATATTTGGAAGGAAGCATAAGTAGTTTTTAGTAGTTATATTCACAATTTATTATATATATTATATATGTTATTATATAACATTTTTTCTGATACAGTAAACAAATATAGTCTTGACAAGCATTGTTTATTGTAATACGAATATTACTTGCCTATATATTATTTATGCGTTTTATCATGTTTATTTACTCTTATTATTTGTTTGATTTTTATTTATTTGTTTGTAGGAATCTTGGACCAGCATTAAGCCGCACGATATATCAGCTTTACTGTACTCGTGGACCTTTGTCATAGGATTTTACATTGCTAAAAACACAAATGTGGGTTGCGTTTCAGTTTAATAATTGTATAGACCTTTCCCCCCTGTAAATTCATTGACTCATATATTGTGTAAAATAATAAAGGTATGAATTACAAAAACTGTCAGTTTCTCTCAGCATATTGGGGTAATGAGCATTTTATGTTTTCCCTTTGCCTTTTCTAATTTATTTAATTTAATTTAAAGATAACCTGAAAACGGTTACACTAGTTTTTGCCTTTATCTGCGTAGTACTCTGTCCATCGAGTCTGTGTTTACATTTTTAAAAAATCTGATTCATAAATTTTTTTTTTTGTATACGTTTATTGATTTTCGACATTTACAAAGATCAACTATATGTATATAGTCTTATCCAACACAATACCAAGAACCCACCAAATCCTGAGACACAACCCATGTATAGAAACAAGGGTAGGTCCAGGGACATTGATTGGGCAGAGAGTCTTGTGACAAATTCAAGCAGTGAATATGAAAAAAAATAATAATAATAATTATATATATATATATATATATATATATATATATATATATATATATATATATATATATATATAGATCCCAAATAAAGTTTAACAGAGCAAGGAAATTTTTACAGTATGTCTGATAATATTTTTCTTTTAGAGAAAGTCTTATTTGTTTTATTTCGGCTAGAACAAAAGCAGTTTTAATTTTTTTTAAACCATTATAAGGTCAAAATTATTAACTCCTTTAAGCTATATATTTTTTCAATAGTCTACAGAACAAACCATCGATATACAATAACTTGCCTAATTACCCTAACCTGCCTAGTTAACCTAATTAACCTAGTTAATCCTTTAAATGTCACTTCAAGCATTCATCCAAGCATCCTCCCATTCATCATCTGTGATTTGTATGGTAAGAGATCTTACACATTTCTCGTTCTGATGTTTTGTGTCCGAAGTACCACATTCCTTAAGAGTTCCATAAAAAGAGCTTATAGCTTTGTTTCGATATAGAAAAGGTTGTCTCTCCACAGCTGATGTCTCCCGATTCATAAACAAAGTAGTGTCTCTTTACAAGCTCTCTTAATTGCACACAGCAAAAATCCTCCGAGTAGAATTTACTCAGTTCAGAGAGCATTTGGTTCCTTTTTAAATAAAGGCAAACAGGTTGGTAAAAAGTATAGCTGTTGTTTGTGCAGTTGCTTAATGATCTTCCGCTGAGATTTTGAAAGATTCAATGTATTATTTTAACTGATTCCATCTAAGGCTATGACTTAAGTCAGTTATAGTTTTGTGTTTCTCTTTTGTGTTTGTTGAATAACAGCAGGTGTTCATCATCAGTCCTCAACCGTCACCTTAATCATTTGCCTCATTAACTTGAGTAACTTAATGTAGAGATGGACCAAATACTAAACTGAGTAAATGTTTGCTGTGTAGGTTGCGAAAAAACAATCTTGCTTTTGGATTTTTCTGCTAGCACATCAAATGCCATACATTTACAACACTTAATTGAAACTCTTCATTTTTTTGGAAGCTCAGCAATAAAACACCATCCAACCGCAAAGATGACATGGTGTGCCAAATCAAAGGTTACAATAGCCCAATTTTGGGCATCTCTGGTCTAAACACGGAAGCTTGTGATAAAAAGCCAAATATGCATATTTACTATTTGTACGTGTTATTTTGAGAAATGCACTTGCTGTTTTGCGAATTTCAATTCTGATCTGAGAAATGTACCAAAGTGACTGAGGGGGGAAAAGGGCTAAATATGCATTAAAATGAGGGACAGGAATTGCACAGGGGGACATTGGTGCAATGTATCAGGACTATCCCTGTGTGGGCCAGGTAGGTGACATCAGTGCTTTAAGAAAGGGGTAGCAGCTGCTCTGCCTTGCAGGAGATTGGAGGGGGACTCCGCTGACGTCCTCTGAATCCCGCTCTCAAGGAGAAACACGCACATCCACAAACACACACACACAAGCGGGATCCACGCTCGCTTTCGTGGAAATGTGTTTTGACGCTTCGCTGCCTGCATCCAGCGATCAGACGGGCGCGTGCGTTGCGAACAAATCCTCGATGCATTCGCTTCCCATCATCATCACCATCATCCATATTTCTGGACGCACAGCCGTCATGATAACGACAGCATCAGCACCACAGTGAAAGGTGATGAAGCTGCTGGTGAAATGGTCAGAGCCGAGAGACTATTTGAGAAGATATGCATGCACTTGAAGTGTGAAGGGCAAGGAGGGGACGGGGTGATGTGCCGCTGATCATGCGACTTCGCCCGGGCTGCCGCTCTCGAAAAACCGCATCGTGACCCGCGGCGGATGGGGTGACTTTCCCGCAGGGGAAGACCCGTGCCGGGGCCGACACATCCTGAAGCGCCGCCGGCTATCCCCGGGGTGTCTCCGCGGGCCAGAGGGACGGAGGAAAGATGCAGGAGGCGACGGCGGATGGAGAGGAGCCCATTCTGGACGGAGCTGCGAGGGAAGAGGTGAGATGAGGGCGTGCAAATTAACCCACATATCTAAATGCTGTGTGTTTTTGTGTATACGTGTACAGTTTAGCTGAAATTTGATACTACAGTTAGTAGATAGATTAATGTTGAGCACAGGAAGAAGACCGTCACGACGTGTAGGCTGTGGCAAGCCGTTTTAACAATATTGACCGTTTTTGGTAAACAATCCAGTTTTTTTTTTTTTTGTTTCATTTGAAACTATTTTGACTAATGTTTTTCTTTTAGTGAAAGTTTGTTTTATAGCATGCTAGTTTAGGAGAGAGGGGGGCGACTGCTGCATGGGGCTGTTGCAACAAGATTTACTCCTCCATTCAGGAATGCTATGATGATGATGTTCATATTACATATTCTTTGTTAGACCTTCCTTTAATCTGAGAGATCAGCCATATGTGACCATGCATTCTGTATAAAACAAATTTTTTAATGTTCAGAAAATTTCTTGTACTGTGAAACATTAATTTCTAATATTTAATTTTACATGCTGTTGCAACTGTCTTTAATACAAAACTCATTTAAAAACTTGCCATATTAACAATGTACGGTTTTAATGGTGTCCATTTCGATGTAATTTAATTCAAAAAATATTTTTTGATTAGTTAATTACGTTTAAAGTGATTTAATTTAGTTTAAAATGTTCAAAGAAGTAGTTTAGTAAAGGTTTAGTAAATAAGCCTGAAAATTGGTTGTCGTTGGTTCTTTTAATAATCTGTAATAATTTATATGGACATATATTTAATCAATTTACATTAAGTCTGTTTACCTAAAAACAAAATCCAACCTAATGTTTTAGAATTTTTTTATTATTACATATAAATGAATATTGCAACCTTCCCTCTGCTAGTTGCAATGTTTGACTTTGGTCTATAATCCCATTTCTACTCCTTAGACGTTTCCCTTCCCAGTTGTCTTTAGCTTGAAGGCGTAGGGCTAATGGGAAGGGCTAGATAGCACTCGAAATGGAGATTTTTCAGCACCACACTCAAAACCAAGGGCTAAGAAAAGTTCACAGAATGCACCAGCATGGCTGCACACGAAAGTAAAGAGATGCACAAACAAGCATATGCTTTAATATATTCATAACCGCATTCGTGTTTTACAATCATGCCTTTTTAAAAAAAACAAAACGCTAAATTTTGCTATTTGTACGCTTTTTAAATCATGACGTAACATTGATGTATGAAATACTGTTTCCATGTCCAAGCCGCTAATTTGAAGTGAGAAAATATTCATTTATGGCCACTTTTTAGTCCTATCACACATTAAAGTGAATTTTATATTAAATCATGGTGTACACAACCACACTCTGCTTGCTGCATCACAACTATCAAAAGTTTAACAATTAATAAAAAAAATGAATCACTTTCTGGCTATTGGATATTAGGCATGGATTTATATTGCGATCGTGATTTTTCAAAAGTATTACATCACTTTGTAACCAACCATTTATTCAATAAATTCTGCATATAATATCATATTTACACATATTACAGCATTGGGTGGGTGTCCAATAGATGTGGGTTTATTATATTAAAATCTGGGGTTTCCACAAAAAAAACTGTCTCTGAGAAACTGAAGGAAATGCATAAAGTGTTGCAACTCTACCTACTTAAAGCAACAGTTCACCCAAATCTGACAATTCTGTCGTCATGTAGGTCTGCTCAGCCTTTGCTTGCTACAAACCTGTTTTGAGTTTTTCTTCTGTTGAACGCAGAAGATATCTTAAAAATGTTAAAAAACTGCAACCGTTTACTTGCATAGTATTTGTTTTTCCTACTGTGTAAGTCTGCCTTGGTTTTCAGCTTTCTTTAAAATGTTTTCTTTTGTGTTCAAGAGAAGAAAGAAACTCATAAAGGTTTATAAACACTTGAGGATGAGTAAACAATGCATTACATTTATTTTTATTGGTGAATCATACCTTTTAAACGATCGTTAACTTTTACTATTCCACTCTTTGATATTAAAAAGCTTAATCGCTATCTGCTAGTTTTTCTAACTAGGTCTTCAATTAAATTCATCTTTATGTCTATAGCGCTTACAATGTAGAATAGATTGAGTCAAAGCAGCTTAACATAGAAAATTGAAACAACAATTCAGTTTTCAATGTTGAAGTTCAGTGTAGCTCAGTTCAGTGTGGTTTAATATTCACTGCTGAGAAGAGCAAATCCATCAATGCGCAGCTCTACAGGTCCCGAACCATGCAAGCCAGTGGTGAGGAAAAAACTTCACCAATTGGCGAAAGTGAAGGATTAAAAAAAACCTCCAGAAAAACCAGGCTCAGTTGAGCACGACCATTTCTCCTCTGGCCAAACGTCTTGTGCAGAGATGCAGTCTAGACGCCGGATCCTGGAGAGCGCTGAACGTTCATCGTGGAGAAGCTACAGAGAGGTCACTGACTGGTGTACGGGCTGTCAATGTGAGGACTCATCTGTCACTGGGGTCTTACAAGGATCAGTCTCATGCTCTCCACTCCTCCATGACCACCACAGCGCTGCTCAGGATACTGCCTGGTCCAGAATTATGGAAACCTGGGGAATAATTGAAAAAAAAAATGACCAACAAAAGCGCAGATGCCGTTCAAATTATAATGTCTTAAGGGAAGTGTTCCCGGCTCCGGTTGCCCTAAATAATGCAGTCTTACAATCCTTTAAAGGATTTGGATTTCAACAGCATTTGTGTTTTATGTGTATGCTAATGCAAAGAGATGTGTCTATTCCAGAGCTTAGGTGCCAGATATGATAAAGATCTACTGCCAATAGTTGATTTTGATATTCTGGGAATAATCAATTGTCCAGAATTAATTGATTTTAGTGAACGTGAGGGGCTATAATACACCAGGAGCTCTCTCAGGTCTTCAGATGAGTTCTTAAGTCCTAACATGTTGGCTATGATTCTGCTATTGACCACAGATTAATATTTAATGTTCACAGTACAATCATACCAATTACTTATAGAAATTTTAGCTTACCAAACACTAGACATCTGCAAAGAAAAAAACATTAGTAGCAAACATTTAACACAGACTTGCCTGAATGAGACTGTTATCATTTTACCTGCTGTAATTTGACCAATCAGAATTGAGTATTACAGAAAGAAACACTTAACATGTTGATTATATGGAAATCACATTATAGATCACGTAAATTAGCTTGTCATATGACATAATCAGGCATTACTCAGACGAATATTTCAGTTTCATAATTCTTGTAGTGCTGAATATTGAGATGTTTACTATTAATGTCTCCGCACAGGAAAATGATGCAGTATATTTCATGTTAACAATATATTTTATCATTGCACTGCAGTTTTTGTTTCCCCATATTTTTCTTTCCTCAATCTGCGTCTCTTTTGTTTCTCCCCTCTTCAAAAGAGAGGTCATATTAGCACACTTCTCTCTTGTTTAAAGTCTGTGAAATCAAAAGTTAAAACGGTTATTGTGCTAGCTCACATTGTTATCCGTAAAATAGAAACTTAATCCACTGAAAATAATAGTTTGTTTTAATAATCAGTAACACTTTATTTTGATGGTGTATTTGAGTGTTAGTAGACTGTCTGCGTAATATATGTTGATACTGCTGCTAAACAGACATTTAACTGACTATAAGAAAGTTAGCAAGTACATGTCAACTCTAACCAACCCTAACCCCAACCTAACAGTCTACTTTTAATCTAATGAGAATTAGTTGGCATTTAGATGCAATGTAACTTAAATTCAACAAACAAACCATCAAAAAAAGTGTGATCTAATAATCTTCAATCAAATCTGACCATTTTCTTCAGCCTTCAGAGTGGTGGTACTTCTGTTGATGTCAACCTCATGGCTTCCATGAGCAACTGGATATTAATACCCCCTCTTACCGTTAGTTTACAAAGATGAGGCAATGATATGCAAAAAAAAGCTCAGCTCAATAATCAGTTCCAATTTGAAGTACATCAACACATAAATATATACAGCACAAAAGTTTGTAACATACAAAATCTTACCTATGAAATGTTCTGTTTTTATGCTTTGTTTGCTTATTACTACACCCTTACGCAATGCAAAAGTTCAGCATCTTCAGATCGGCTTTAGTCTTGACTTGTGCGGTTGAATGACATTTGTCCTAAAAGCACTTAACAAATATGGTAGCGGTATTGATGCGATTATCTAGTGCAGGGGTGTCCAAACTCCCTGCAGATTTTAGCTCCAACTTGCCTTAACACACCTGCAAAGATGTTTCTAGTAAGCCTAGTAAGGGCTTGATTGGCTAGCCCAGGTTTGTCTGATTGGGGTTGGAACTAAACTTTGCAGGACATTGGCCCTCCGAGTTTGGACATGCCTGATCTAATGTATATATCAACATAATGAAATTAAAGTCTTAGCAACTTCTGGTACACGCAGAAATAGTGGTGAAGTAATGGTGATGGTAATTATAACATGAAACTAAACAAATGAAAGATCTCAAGAGTTCAATACTGCCACAGATACATAAGCAGGTCTTCCAATATTTCAGTTTTCCCCTCATCTGAGTGCAATAATCACGCGATGCTATAACGGAAGTACATCACCCTCAGCATAAGTAATGCTTCAGTGTAAGTGATTTTTATTCTTTCCCTCAGGCCTTGGCAGAGCGTTTCCCTCGAGGCTGGTGTTTTACAACCAGCCTTCTTGGCAACGTCGCTTTCTCTTGCACTCGTTTGGTCTGCCACTGTACTTAGCCCTTTCCCTATACTATTCATCACGCTGTTCCATCTGATAGATGTCCTCTCACTGGTACAGCATCCGATCAAAGGAGGGCCTGTGTTATTTCAAGACGGATAATGACTTCGGTTAGGTCAACAAATCTGTGACAAAGCTCAAGACCAGAGTCAGCACTGACCTCCAGGCCCTCTATATTAACAAACTACAGCATTTCTCTCTCTCTCTTTCTCTCGCTCTCTCTCTCTCTCTCTCTCTCTCTCCTCTATTCATTCAGTGGTGCTGAGTTAACCTCCTGTCTCTTGTTACATGGGGATCAATAGAAATGGAGACAGCTCCAAAGGAAGAGAGCTGCGAGTCATTTCAGAAGTGCAGTTTTAAATTCATTTGGAAGGAAGTGTAATAGGCTACAACAGATAGTGAGCTATTTCTGTACATTTTCATGTGGCATGTGATGATGTTGAAGAATAATAATGAAAGACTGGCTTTGACATGGTCTCTCGACCTGCCAAAATACTCTCTCTCTCTGTAACAATAAATATCATATTCCTTCTTTAGTGGATTGTTTCTTAGTATTAGGTTCTCTCTTGCCAGAGCCCTTTGTTGTTCGGACATTTTCTATTCAGCAAATCACAAATTGTTAATCTTAAGGGAGAGCTTTTTTTGTTTTGTGTCTCCAGAATGTGTCTGTAAAGTATCAGCTCTTAATAACTCTCAGAAATAGAGGTACAGGAGCTGTCACTGGGCCAGTACCTTTTTAAAAGATACATATTTGTAACCAAAGAGTCCACAGTGGTACCTCAAAGGTGCATATTAGTGCCCAAATGTACCTAAAAAGTACCTTTGAGCATTTTATCATGGAAAGATAGAGGATTATAACTATAGGGAATCTTTAAATAGACAACATTTTTGCTTCATTAACCTCCAGCTGATCCTATATGTGGTAGTCCATAGACTACAGTATTACCGCACTAAATTGCACACTATATACCTCTCTGTATCATCTCTATGTATTAAATGCAAGTCCAATGAACGTACACTGGCTCACACATTTTGGTTCTGCCCAAAAATGTCTAAATTTTGGACGGAGGTGTTCTCTTTTTACTCTGAAGTACTAAGGATTGATTTACTACCTGACCCTCTAATTGCAATATTAAGCTGGGCTCCTTCCTTTAAAAACTGTAGTTTAGATAAAATCCAGAAAGAGTTCAATATGGAATGACTATGGCAAAAAAAGGTAATATTGTTGATGTGGAACAGAGTGTACACCTAAATTTGAGACATGGCTCACAGAGTTTTGTAATGTATTACACATGGAAAAGATTAGATATGAGATTGCAGGCAAACCAGAATTTGAAAAGCATTTTTCAAAAAATTGAAAGCCCTTTTTTAAATGTCTACAGACTAACCAATTTATATAAAAAATGTATTTGCTTGTTTATTTAACAGGGACAATACACTTGACATTGTTATCCAAAGATAACTGATGTTGCGCACAAAGGGCATATAGCAAAAAGATAATTTGCAGCCCTCGTCCCTGGTTAGGCTTTACATTAAAAAATTAAAAATAATCAAACAAAAAAAAAAAAAACACAATACGACAAACATGTACAATATATACAAAGCCACAAACACAAAATGTAAGTCAATCTGCATAAAGAGAAATGGAAACCTGATCAACCTGAAAGAATAATACTTAATGCTCACATTGCTGTAAAAATTTTAACCATTCTTTCAGCTTTACAGAATAAACTGGGAGTTGTGATTGTAACTTTAATAATAATAATGAAAACTGAGTGGTGTGGAAGATTTTATGAATCATAGCAATGTGTAAAACACACAAATCTTCAATAATTGGGTATGTATAGGTATTCACATTTCCAAAAACAATTGGCCAATTTTTAATCTTATTATTATTTATCTCTTTTCCTTTTGTTTAGTTTTATTTATTTAGTCATTTGTATTAATGCTAAATATGCACATATGTATATATGCTGTATATGTAATGTACATAGGCAGATGTTTGACTGGACTTGTGGATATGTGCAGGTATAGATTACTAATGGAGGAATACGATTAAGTAACTGTACAGTTGTGGATGTACATGTGCATATATATTTACATTTCACATATGTTTATGTATTATTATTTGCTGGCATGGGAGGAATCTGGGGTTTGTTCTTTAAAATGTGAAAAACTTTAAATAAAATGAAACATGAGGAAGAGGAGAAAAGTACCTTTTGAGGTACCATTATGGACCCTTCAGGTACCAATATGAATGTTTTGAAAACCTACTGCCCCAGTGACAGCTCCTGTACCTTTGTTTGTTAGTGTATGGTGCAAATGCCTTAAAGGGACAGTTCACCTAGAATGTTAAATTTACTCTGTCTCAAGTAGTACCACACCTTTATCATATATATTTTTTATTAGATGAACACATAAGAAGATAATTTGAAAAAATGTTAGAAACCTGTAACTATTGACTTCCATATACGAAAAACAAAAATTGTATCACAGTCAATGTTTAAAGTTTGTTTCAAACATATCTTCTTTTGTGTTTAACAGTAAAGGGAAACTGCTCTGGACTAAATAATGTTAGCTCAGCAAGAACACATTTCTTAGACCTGTATGCTGATATAGATTAAGCTAATCTATATGCTAAAAGGGCATTAAGCATCTGAAATAGCATATTTTTACCATTACACAAACACTAGATTCACATCCATGTTTATACTCCACACTAAAGCGGATTTTGCAAGTAGCTACATCAGTCATCTAAAAGCCGTAGACGTCCTGCTACTTCACTCAAATGTTAATTTCTTTGTGGTTAGAAACAGAAAGGCTATGAAAGAGATATCATAATGTACTGTGTCAGATGCACATTAAAAAGCTGGGATGAGCAATATTATTATTATTATTACCTTTTAAGATGTCATTATATAGAATGAAGCAGTTGGGATTTTTGTACTTGTATCACTTTTTCACAGTTATTTTATTTGAAAGTATTAAATATTTAAAATAATTTCATAGTTTAGAACTGTAAGAGTAAGACTGATTCATAAAACGTTTGAAATAATGCTCTTGCATTGTCAAATTACAAATGGCCCTCACAGTAACGACAGCTCTTTTTAACTGAAAATTATGGTTGTTGGTTGACAGAAATGTCTTCAAATTCAGAATACAGTAGATAATAATTTGCATTAGCTTAGGTAATGTGGCATGGTGGGTAGCATTGTCACCTCACATCAAGAAGGTCACTGGTTTGAGCCCCGGCTGGGTCAGTTTGTATTTCTGTGTGGAGTTTGCATGTTCTCCCCGTTTTCATGTGGGTTTCCTCCGGCTGGTCCGGTTTACCTCACAGTCCAAAGACATGTGCTGTAGGTGAATTGGGTAAGCTAAACTTTCTGTAGTGTATGTGTGTCCTGGTCCTCCAGGTTGGGGGTGAGTGTTGGGCTAACAACCCACCTCATAAAAACTGAATGTTATGAATCACCAACATGGTGATATAAAATAGCCCTGGGAGTAAGTAATGTTCCATATTAAAATAGCAAACAGGGCTTGTTAACAGCTGTTAGCAAAGCTTGACGTTTGCATTTAAAAAATAGCTTGACTAGATTCCCAAAGCTGGTATAGGGTAACTGTATTTCTATACGTCTATTTTTGCAATCTTATGTGCACATAATTTATTGCTGGCTAGACCAAGAGGCTGTAATTTTCATCTATGCAATGTTCATTTTATTTTACATACAAACAAATTCTAAAAATTAATGTTTAACAAGTATTATTTTAGCCTATTGAAAGTACATGCTTGCTCTCAGACACACTCTCTCTGTCCTCTCTCTGCAGCAGCGTCCGGTGAAGCAGTCCTTGGCTGCCTCTCTGTGTCGAGAGTCTCACTGGAAGTGTCTTCTCCTCACTCTGCTCATGTTCGGCTGTTTTGGCACACTGGCTTGGTGCAAGCTGTGCAAAGTTCCAGTGCTTGCTCCGACAGAGCCAGAAGCTGCGGTTGAGGAGTCCGGACACCTCTCTACGACCTCTGCAAGCTCCGATGTCTTCACCCCTCTAGAAGGGGATCTGGATAGTCCTTGTTCCAGCGGCTATATTTATATTCCTCTGGCTTTCCTGGCTATGCTGTACGTTGTTTACCTGGTGGAATGCTGGCACTGCTACTCCAAAACAGCCATGTTGGCTCAAGCAGAGGTTGCGGAGGTGTATGAGCGCGTGCAGAGACTGCAACAAGCAACGCCGTGCATTTGGTGGAAGGCCATCAGCTACCACTATGTGCGACGGACAAGACAGGTGACGCGATACCGCAATGGAGATGCCTACACCACGACACAGGTGTATCATGAGCGTGTAAACACGCACGCGGCAAGCTCAGAGTTTGACTATGCTAGATACGGTGTCAAAGATGTTTCCAAGGAACTAAGGGGGTTAATGGATCACCCGGCAGTGCGGCTGCGCTTCACCAAATGCTTTAGTTTCGCAAGTGCCCGAGCTGAGGCTGCCTACCTCACCCAGCGGGCACGCTTTTTTGGTGAAAATGAAGGACTTGATGATTACATGGAGGCACGGGAGGGAATGCATTTGAAGAATGTGGATTTCCGTGAACACATCCTAGCTTTCCCTGACCCAGCCAGACAGCCTTGGTACGCCAGGCGCAAGGTTTTCTGGCTGGCCTCAGCTCTGCTTCTGTCCTGGCCACTTCGGGTTGTTGCGGAGTACCGCACTGCATATGTGCACTACCATGTAGAGAAACTGTTTGGGGACGCTGATGACAACAATAGAGGCGATGTAACTGAGAATGGTGGGAGCACCGAAAATGGGAATGGACCTGGCACTGGATCAAGCTATCGTGCTATTTCACGAGTCAATACAGTGGACATGACAGAGCTGGAGTGGCACATTCGCTGCAACCAACAGATGGTCCCAAGCTACTCCGAAGCTCTGCTGATGGATCCTGGTTCAGGTACCAATCAAGGTACCAACACTCCTCCAGCGGGGCAGGGGGCAAACTCGACAGCGAGTGGCCCAACTCTACCAGTGGCCTTTACCTCTGCCTACTTGCTCCAAAACTGTCCTCGGTGCCGCCGCACCACAAGCAGCGCTTCCCTTCCATCCCGACTCAGAGGCCCGACCGCAGCCCTGCTGAGTGGAACCATGGCTGGGATGAGAGCTAGTGGATCAGGAGGCGGTGCTGGAGGTCCAGGACGACTGGTTCTAAGCAGGAGCGGCTTTTCATTGGGACGACTCCAGGCTCCTCGTCCACCGTCCCTCTTCCACTCCCGAAGTGTCGGTGGAGGACTAGCAGCAAGAGGAGAAGATTCAGGTGGAGGAGGAGGGGGATTTTTGGGTTTGGGATCCAGACAAGATGAAGAGAGCAGAAGAGTGCTGGAGGGAGAAGGTGACGAGGAAGAAGAGGCTGTGAATGTGGTGGAAAGAGAAGAAGAAGGGGAGAGAGAAGGGGAGCAAAGAGAGCAACAGGAGGATGCAGAAGAAGAGGAAGCAAGGGAAGGAGACAGACCTCCTACATATCAGGATGCCTTTTTCTTCCCGGTGTTGATTGTGCATGGAGAGGAGAGCTGCCATTCAGGTGAGGACATTTCCTGAAGAAAAGACATTAAACCCTGATCAAAAAGAGCACCGAAGTGTCAGGAGTAGAGAAAGACCATTAGAAAACTCATGGCCAATTCAATAGAGTGTGAAGGGAGTCATTTGTCAGTTGACCTTTCTCTAAGCTCCACTCCCCTTGATCACTGTTGCTAAATCAGACAAACTGTGCAAAAGCAAACCAGAGATTAAAATATACCATGCGTTTTAAAATTTAAAGTATGCATGCTTGGTGATTAATCAAAAAAAGGTGAGAACCGAGGTGAATGCTGATCGCAAGAAACTGAAAAGAGACGCAATTTGTTTATAAGAGATTAATTAATACGTATCTGCTTAAAGATTATGAAAAAAAATACAGTTTGTATCGACTTCAGGTACGTTGTGCCATTTTACTAGTGACCGGACAACATGGTTTATCATTATTAGAAATTATCCTCTACTACAGATCTTCCATAGACTTTCATAAGAAAAGCTTGTTTAAGAAAACATAAATGCCAACAGTTGCTAAAGTGGGACTGCTCTTTTTTTAAAAGCAGCACTTAGAGAAGGGTCATGTGCTTCATTTTGAGCCCAACTTGAGAATGAGAATGCATAAAATTGTCCAAGTAAGGTGTCAGACACCTCTTGTAAACAATGACTGACATTAATATAAACTTACCTATGCAATAAAGAAGAGAGTGTTTGTAAAATTTGAAGGGGATACACAAAAAAAAGACATCTCTCAATGTACGGCACCTCCTCTGGTCATGGAGCAAAAAGCATCAAATGACATGCTACCAAAATAAAAGGCTGTCGAAAAGTCTTCCAAAGATCATGAAGAGCTCATCAAGAGGAATGTTATGAATCTATGTACACATAGCCATTGTAAAGCTGTGTCCTACACGACAAAAAGGTTTTGCTTTTTAAAAAAAAACTACATATGGAGAGAGAGACACCTGTGCACAATTGCTATTTGAGACATTTCATTATAACTAGGGCTGGGTGAAATGGCAGAAATGCAACCTCAATAATTATTTTCCATATTGAACGATAACGATATACATTGCGATTAAAGTTGTTTAATGCTTCCAGATTTAAAAGAATACCACAACATTGACTGAAGCCACAAAAATTGGAGGGTCCATTAAATGGCATAACAAATTTTCAGTGTTGGGCAGTAGCTACATTACAAGTTGTGACGCACTAGCTTAACTACATTTCTCAGGAGCGTGGCGGTAGCGTCACTGCTTTATACATTAAATAGCTTTTCTGTAGCTAAGCATTTTTTTAGTCAAGTAGCGCAGTAGCATCCACTCAAGCAACATTTAGTGATCGCAGATCAATAAGTGACGACACCAACATTCACAGAGATTTGAAGCCGGTGTCTAGCCGATGAAAGTAAATCCATTTGATAGCGAGAATGACGATTTCTTCTTCCTGTTTTTCGGTGGTCGACAATAAAATTTTAGTGCGTTACTGCCACCTTTCGCTCTGGTCGGTGATGTCATCAACCAATTGGGCTAACACAAGAAATTTGCTTCATAGAAAGATGACTGAGGGAGAGGAGTTATATATTTATAGTTTACTGTAGTAAAAGCTAAAGTATACTATAGTAATTACTATTACTTAATGATAGTTACTAATGATATACATTATGTAGTGTAGTACATTAATGAAAAGCTGTAAATATATATACAATATAATGCTTATTCCTTAACTAAAAATTACTATAGTATTTTAAATGTGTTGGATTTTAAGTTTTTGCTGTTATATACCATAAGTTGTTTCTGTTTAGTACAGCATATTAATTGCAGTAAATAATTAAACTGAACAGTTATGCCTCATATGTTTTTTTGACAGTTTTATTGATCATTAATATATGATTGACTTAATGATGATTTGATGATTTAAACTTCGATTTATGAATGAAAATTTAAAAAAATAGCTAAGATGTAGCTAAGCTACTTTTGCCAGGTAGATATTAGCTTAGCTTGCTACATTTCCCAAATGGTAGCTTTAAGTGTAGTTAAGCTACATTTTAAGTAGAGGTGCTAATAGCTTGGCTCACTACATTAGTAGCTTGCCCAACACTGCAAATTTTTAGCTGATAAGTTTTTGATGGACGAAAATTCAGTACGTCTCTATTACCAATACACGTTTCGATTCCTATTGTCGCACATTTCTGCAGTGTGATTGGCCCTTAGATCAATATAGAGTAAAAAAGTGCAGAGCTTATTATTGTTATTGAAACAAATTTTATCTCGATTCAACTTTATATCGTTTATCGGCCCAGCCCTAATTATAACTGTTCTCTTTTGCTTTTAAAATTCTCTCGCTGCTTCTTCAGCTTTTATGAAATGGATCTTTGACACAAACTAATGGATCCTATAACTGCAGGAAGTGTACTCACAATAAGCCATTTTCTTACAGCTTCATTCTTTTCTTTCTACAGTCTAATAAGTTCCAGTAACAAGCTTTTGATTTGTTTGTCAAAAAACTAGTGAAAGTATGTGGAGATATTTTCCAGCACTTAGGTTTTCACTGTATGTATTTTATATTCCTTGTTTGTGTTAAGTGTATTTTATATTTATCGTTTGTACGTTGATCATTTATACAACAACATTTCACCAACTTTGCCTCATGAAGAGCTTTACACAGAACATCACCTCACAGGCATAAATACTGGTACAGCATGTTGCCTCCGTCGTAGCCTCTGTGCCCGTCTGCAATTGGCTGAAGTGTCATGTGAAAAAATAGGCCAATTGTGGACGAGACTGCTTAGTGTGCCAAGACACATCCATCTCCTGGTAACTGTGGATCTTCGTGAGACGTCTTGGTAGTGAGTTCACTGCGGCATACACACATGAATGTGTTTCGTAATCGGAAAATGTGCACAACGCAAATCTTCCTACGTCTGTCAAGCTTCTGATATAATCTTCAAATATGCATTGAAGGAAGAAATGCACAGGTTTAGTCCTATCATACGGCATGCAGACGTGCTCTCTCTCATTTATCCTTTAGCCGGTCACGTAGATGTTGCAGCTGTACTGCAAATCATTTAAAAACACCTTCAAGAGAAAGAGAATATTCTTGCAATACTGTTAAAAAATGTTGTCACAATGTGAATGTTGATCTAACAGTGTTGTAGTGTCTATTTATATCACAATGAGAATGTGTATGTCATCTGTATTTGACTGTGCGGTGCGTTTCATCCACTCACTTGTTGAGACACAGATGGCAGAAACGTAGACTACAAAAATACTTGAATTTCAAAAAATCTGAACTCAATTTCTCTGATGATAATATAGACTTTCCTTAGACTTTCTTTTTGTTGTTAATTTACTTCATCTCAGGCCATCAAAGATGTAGGTCATTTGTTTTTTTCACCAGAAGAACATGGAGCCTTTTCACATTTCTGGGTTCCTCATTAACAGAAGTCATAGTTGGGTGAACTTAGAGGGCAGTGAATGGGAGAGTACAACAAATAATTTTATATTCCTATTTGCTCAAATAATAAAAGAAAAACTCAACAACAGTGTTATCAAGACTTTCAGAACAGGAAAACAATTGTTTGAGACTGATAGCAGCCAGAAGAGAGAACGTCAAATTTACTGTCCTGTATTCACCTGCCACTTTATTAGGTACACCTGTCCAACTGCTTGTTAATGCAAATTTCTAATCAGCAAATCACGTGGCAGCAACTCAATGCATTTAGGCATGTAGACATGGTGAAGACGATCTGCTGCAGAATGGGGAAAAAAGGTGATTTAAGTGGCATGGTTGTTGGTGCCAGACAGGCTGGTCTGAGTATTTCAGAAACTGCTGATCTACTGGGACTTTCACGCACAACCATCTCTAGGGTTTGTTGAGAATGGTCCAAAAAAGAGAAAATATCCAGTGAGCGGCAGTTCTGTGGGCGCAAATGCCTTGTTAATGCCAGAGGGCAGAGAAGAATGGCCAGACTGGTTCCACCTGATGGGAAGACAACAGTAACTCAAATAACCACTCGTTACAACTGACGTATACAGAAGAGCATCTCTGAACGCACAACACGTCAAAACTTGAGGCGGATAGGCTACAGCAGCAGAAGACCACACCGGGTGCACCCCTGTGAGCTAAGCACAGGAAATTGAGGCTACAATTCGCACAGGCTCAACAAAATTGGACAATAGATGATTGGAAAAACGTTGCCTGGTCTGATGAATCTCGATTTCTGCTGCAACATTCGGATGGTATGATCCAACCTTCCTTGTATCAACAGTTCAGGCTGGTGGTGTGGTTTTAAAAACTTTTGTTGCTATTGTGGATAATTTCTTTGCACACTTTGGGCTCATAAGTACCAACTGAGCATCGTGTCAATGCCACAGCCTACCTGAGTATTGTTGCTGACTATGTCCATTCCTTTATGACCACAGCGTACCCATCTTCTGACGGCTAGTTCCAACAGGATACCGATCCATGTCAGAAAGCGAGAATCATTTCAGACTGGTTTCTTAAACATGACAATGAGTTCACTGTACTCAAATGGCCTTCACAGTCACCAGACCTCAATCCAATAGAGCACATTTGGGATGTAGTGTAACGGAGAGTCGCATCATGGATGTGCAGCCAACAAATCTGCTATGCATAATGCTATCATGTCAATATGAAGCAAAATCTCAGAGGAATATTTCCAGTACCTTGTTGAATCTATGCCACAATCGATTAAGGCAGTTCTAAAGGCAAAAGGGGGTCCAACCCAGTACTAGTAAGGTGTACCTAATAAAGTGGCCGGTCAGTGTATATTACAAAGTAATAACACATCATAACAGTCTTGTGTAAAGGGTCCATTAAAGGTGCCATAGAATGCATTAATACATTTTGATTAAATTGATCAAATAGGTATGTGGCGAAGGTAAGTGCAAATAAAATTCCCACTTTAAACTCAAGAGATTGGCCCTAGAACGAAAGCTCAGTTTTTACCTTAATTGGAAGGGTCATGAATATTAATGAGCTTTCCATTCATGTGCCTGTGGAAAAGAGGTTTGTATAAGGAGCGAGTGAGCTATCTGTAGGCAACTATGTCTACTCCTCCATTAGTGCTCCTGAGTTGTGTTATGAATGTATTATAGGCGAAATTATAAGTATACCCAACAAAAAGGGGAAAACTGAGATAGTTGTATTTTACAGGTTTAATGCATCTGAAAACACAGGCAGGAATTAAAATCAACCTCTACATAAACAGAGTAGTTTTTAAAGACTCAAGAAAAGATAGCTGAGTAATAATGAGTGACACAATACATACATTTAAATGAGCATCAAACGCATATTCAGCAGTTAACGTGTCTGTTACCTCACTACAAAAGTATACTGCAAATTTCACAATACACACAGTAAACTAACATAACATACAGTTAAATAGACCTGCTGCCTCTTCAAGGGGTTTACAAAATAACCTTTTTATCTATCTTTCCTAAATTTTGCAGTCTGAAATACTGTAAAAATATAAGGTAACATTCCTTACTTCCTGTTCAGTTTTCAATATGAGAGATACACATGAAATATAAGCCGTGTTTTGATTGGGGGGGGGGGGGGGTAATTTATAATTGTTGTAATTTCATCAAGAAAATATTTTGGCCAATCAAACGCAGCCTGGCATGCATATTAATGATCCTATGTGAAACGCTGTGTTTTGTCTCATATAAGAATGAGAAGAGAATGCTGTTTGAGACCCACTGTATATCACTTCCATCTCCTGAAAACTTAGTATTCATCATTCATGCCTAGGAATATCCAGATTTTCATTCTATGGCACCTTTAAAGAAAACGTCTTACTGTAGATGAATCTGTGATGCCAGATGATTGGTAAAATGCAAATAAATGGCTACCAGCACATTCAGAAAAAAACAAAACATTCTGGCAAAGCAATATTAAGCCTTTATAAGGCCCTTATTGAAATCTTGGAGTGTTACTGGGGGTTATAACAAGACTTCTGTACTTTTAGGACTTATGATGTTGTAATCAAGGTCAATGAAGTCACCATACATGGTTAAAGGGTAAATACGTTTGGCTCCTGTCAATACATTCAGGTCTTTTGAACTAAACTAATCAGTTGGTGCAGGTACCAGAGCATTACACTAAACATTATTACCGTTAATTCACAATCTTGGCAAACAGTTCTGAGCACGTTCCAGACAATCTGCAGCAGACGTTTCATAATGACGTCAATCTGATTTTGGGCATCTGAAAAGTCAGTCGCACATGCCAATGCAATCTTACGCTTTTATGTAGGTTGCAGCGTTCAGGCTAAGCACAAGTGAGTACCACTGATGAATAATACAACACATGCCCATTGTGAACAAACAGCATCTGCTCGTGTGTGAGTTTGCACCCTCACACACATCATTATGAGTCAGGAAGCTCCAGACGGCCATAAACATGATCAGGACCATTTGCCAAAGATATTGAATGTTGTAAAATTTCTCCTGACTTTGCTTTCTAAGACATCAGTGTATTGATAGGAGCCATCGGAGTTAATTGAATTTGTCTGTATGTTTCTCAAAGGGCTGGTATCCTCCATTTTGGAAGGCCTGGATGAGTAAATTAACAGCAGATTTCATTTTTGGGTTAACCGAGTCCTTTTTATTAGCAAAAGGTTGAGGCAGTCTTGAGATCAGCAGGATGTTCTGTGTATGTGCGTTAAAATGGGAATGCAAGCTTGTGTTCCTCCCCAAAGTACCCTTTAGACTTAAATGAGACACAAGAACCCTTTAATATTTAATAGTAGCATCAAATTAAAAGCAATATTTATCTTTTTATGACATTGCCTTGAATATCATTTCGGATGTAGCCAAGCTCAGCGAGATACAGTATGTTGAGCTTTCTATTTGTCCTTCCCCAAAGTCTGATGCCTCAGCTAGTTTGCCTGAAATATGTTTTTCACTAGAACAGACAGCGGTTACACTTGGAGTTTTGACAGGAGATTTGAAAGTATGTGTGTGCGTGTGTGTGTGTGTGAGCTGGGAGGCTGAAAATAAGGATTGTCACATTTGATGATCATGTTAAACATAATACTGATGTAAATAATAAAATGCTTGATTTGAACATTGTATTTGTCTCCACATTCAGTTATCTTAATGGGAAATTATCAGTTTGTACATGTAGATTTTTCTTTGTAAAATGTCCTTTAACAGTGCCAAAAAAAACACTTAAGGTGTTCACTCTTGGCAGGTTTAGTTTGATGAAAGTGAACACTGGTGCGATTTGATCTGTTAGTGTGTTTATACAGGCCTGCTCATACTGAGCACTTTGACCCATAAATAACAGCAGTCACTCAAAGCGTTTATTAAAGAATAATTAAAATATGAATCTGGTTTTTGCTCTATCACAATAAAACATGTTTTGTTAGAATCTCTGGACTGGGCAGATCAAAAATTATTTTAAAAAAAGTTCAACTTTTAGTAGATGCCTTGATAGCTGTAACAGGCTCATAACAAAAGGTCTGTGGCTACATGTTTCTGAATTCCTGTAAACACATAAGGAAAGCTCATAATTTCACAAAACTGGACAAGCATGTGACATATGATTATAAACAATCATACTAACCATTATAGAGATAAAAAGAAACAATAGGTGGCACTATAACAGTTGAAAATGTCTAAAAACATGCTAAATGAGCAAAAATTGCAATAACTTTTTAAATGTACACTTAATCTACATATTATTTGATAGCCATGCTTATTCTGAACTCTTTGACTCACAAATCACTGCTGTCACCTAAACTGTTCAAATATAAACTCTAACACTCTAATCATAAACTTTATTGTTGATTACAAGGGCGTAGATTTGCTTTTGATATTAGTGGGGTCCTAATTTAACTGCAACCACATTTAAAATGTAAAGTTATGGGAATGTCTGACAAAAAGGTTGTTTAATAAAGACTTCCTTAGATGCTTATAATCACCACCGCATCTGAACACATTTTTTGCAAGTATAATATTGCCATTTATGCACTTAACTAAGTTAAAAGATGATTTACATGTCTGTTTACTTACTGAACATGCAAACTGAACAGCACATGTTCTATTGCGCACTTGAAAAACTTTAATAAATAAATCAAATACAATTAGTAAACAACATAAAATTTTACTTTGACAAGGTATGAATGCAGACTTCTGGAAAGGGGGAGGCATATGACACAATAACTATTTTATCTAAATTGTTGTTTTTTTCACCATCGTGGAGGCCAAAATCAAAACTATTTTTTTTAAATTGGACTTGACTTCAAGTGACTGACACTTTTCTTTGAAATGTATCTGCTTATGTCCATGTCCACCTGAGTCTAGCACAGTGAGCCTGACTGAAAAATTTTGACAAAGCATTATTTTATTTTGGATGCGATTTTATTGGTGGGGACATTTTAATAATCTGTGGATATTGTTGGGGACATGTCCCCTCTGTCCAGCTAATTCTACACTCTTGGTTGATTAAACTCCTTACAGATTTCCTAACTGATAAATAACCTCATCCTTCTACTAGAACTCCCTAACTGCATCAGAATGGCAGAGTCACTCGCTGTCTTCAAGAAACGACTAAAAACTCAACTATTTAGTCTCCACTTTCCTTTCCTTTTTGCTCCACCGCTAACTGTACTACAAAAAAAAATTAAACATAATAATAAAAATAAATAAATTACTAATGTTTTGCTTCTTACACTCTACATACCTGAAACTTGCCTACAGCACTTATTCATTGTTGCTCTTATAGTTATGTAAATTGCTTCCTTGTCCTCATTTGTAAGTCGCTTTGGATAAAAGCGTCTGCTAAATGACTAAATGACTAAACTTTCTTCAGTTAAACAAAGAGAAAACTGAAATGATTGTGTTTGGAAACAGAGATGAGGTTCTCAAGGTAAATGCGTACCTTGGCACTAAAGGTCAAACGACAAAAAATAAGGTCAAGAATCTTGGTGTGACTCTGGAGTCAGATCTGAGTTTCAACAGTCATGTCAAAGCAGTCAGTAAATCAGCATACTATCATCTCAAAAACAGCAAGAATCAGATGCTTTGTTTCTAGTGAAGATTTAGAAAAACTTGTTCATGCTTTTATCAGCAGCAGGGTGGATTACTGTAACAGTCTCCTCACTGGTCTTCCTAAAAAGACAGTCAGACAGTTACAGCTCATCCAGAACGCTGCAGCCAGAATTCTAACCAGAAGCAGGAAATCAGAGCACATCACACCTGTCCTCAGGTCTTTACACTGGCTGCCAGTTACATTCAGAATAGATTTTAAAGTATTATTACTGGTCTATAAATCACTAAATGGCCTAGAACCTCAATACATCACAGATATGCTCACTGAATACAAACCCAACAGATCACTCAGATCTTTAGGATCATATAAACTAGAAGTTCCAAGGGTTCAGTCAAAGCAGGGTGAATCGGCTTTTAGCCACTATGCCCCTCGCTGCTGGAATCAGCTTCCAGAAATGATCAGATGTGCTCCAACATTAAGCACATTCAAATCAAGACTGAAAACACATCTGTTTAGCTGTGCCTTTACTGAATGAGCACTGTGCTGCGTCCGACAGATTGCACTATCATGTTTTTCTCTTCTTCTTCATTCTTTTATATCACATCTTACCTGTTTTTATGTTTTGTTTTGTTTTTACGCATTTTTATTATTTGTTTTTATTTTTATTTTACTTGTTTCTTTTATACTTGTTTATGTAAAGCACTTTGAATTGCCACTGTGTATGAAATGTGCTATATAAATAAACTTGCCTTGCCTTTGCCTTGCCTAAATGTAAATGTAAAACGCTTGAACCCTGATAATTGCTGCTTGCAGCTAAATTTTTATTTGTGTCTCCTGAACCTTTAGGATAACCAATCAAGAAAGATGGGTCTCAGTCCACTTCTCCTTACAAAAAGTAAAAAGAACTAACCATGGTTTTATTATAGTATTCAAGAGTTCACACTTAACTGATGATTGATTATAAAGCTTGTTTGGCATGCTGTCCCAGGAGAGAGCCATGAGCTCATAAGATCCTCGAGTCCGGGGCTCCCTCCTGTTTGCAAGGTAAGAAGGGAGTTTGAGCTCAGGTAGATCACTAGAGCTCCCCTGCTGTATAGCCAATGAACAGATAGCCATTGCTCTTAAGTGATAACTACTTACTAAGAGCATGTCTATGGTGCCGATTTAGATTAGTTAATTAAATTTAAGTTGTGTGTTTTTGGACGGTGGGAGGAAACTGGAGAACCCATTTGAGAACATGTAAACACCACACAGAAACATCGGCTGGCTTCGTAAGGACTAGAACCAATGATGTTCTTCCTTTGAGGCAACAGTGCTAACCACTGTGCCACCGTGTCACTCATCTAGAAAAGGAGGAGGAGTAGGGGTGGAAGGAGGGATTCTTAAAAATGAAGATGGCTGTTATTTGGAACTTAGGGTTTTTATAGTGGCTTAGGAATCATCTGATTGGTGAATCATAAACGTGATCCTCTCGAAATTAGTTTATAGATAAACTTTTTGGACCATTTGATTACCATTAAACTGCAGTTTTACTACTACAAAATGATCAAAATTAGCCAATAACAGGATATAATGTTCCAAGATGTGACCACAAAATGGACAGAATGCCCAAACATTTTTTTTTTCAAATTCTTGATGTTGCCTGTTGCACCTGCAGCCCAGTACTGGGAAACACCCATACATACACACACTACAATACAGCCAATTTTGCTTAACCAATTCACTTATAGCACATGTCTTTGGCCTGTGGGGGAGACTGGAGCACCCTGAGTGAACACGAGAAGAACATGCAAACTCCACACAGAAATGCCAACTGGCCCAGCAGGAACTAGCATATGTTTTACACAGCGGATGCCCTTCCAGCCACAACCCAAGACTGGGAAGCACCCAGACACTCTTTACAGTCATTCACTCACAAACACTACGGCCAATTAGGCTCACAGACAGACAGAGACTGTATTATGCCACCGTGCGGTCAAAATTGATATTACATAGCCTATTTCTTAATAATTCAGTTTCAATTGATTAATCCGTTTAAAAGGACGTTCCTCTTTTAGTAAAGCACGATGTGTTTTTATTTTTTTTTTTTATTCAATAGGGGAAATGTTATAAATACAAACTTGCGCGCGCGCTCTCTCGCTCTCTCTCTTTTAATCCTGTCGTGTTTAATTTGAGGTAAAGTAGATTTAAGCCACGCGTTAGAGAAAATCACGGATTTAACGGACACTGTGGCTGGAAAGAGTCAGAGGAACGGCGAGCTGGGAAACCTGTATGATCAGGACTGAAGGAAAACTGTTATTCTGTAAGTCTTTTTTTATTTAAATGTATTTATGTATGTAAAATCATGTGTTTTTGCGTTGTTTGAATGAAAGGTTTGTTTCGGCTTCTGAATTGCCAAAGACAGGAACTTGTCACACTCTTGCCAAAATGAAGTCGGTGTATATTTGTTAAGTCTTCACCTGCTGTTGTTTTATACGGCCTCGTTCTTTAACATTAGCTAATGTTTGCAATCAGCAAGATGAGGTTGATGTGAGAGAGTCCCAGTAAGCCTCTGTAAGCCGCTTCAAAGCCCAGAGGATCAAACCTGCTGCTATAATAAAGAGTCACGACTGGTGATTGACGCATTCTCGCTTTAGCCGAGTGTAAATGCTCCACTAATGTCAGCCAGTGTGTTTTTTGACAGTCCTTGACGGACACACTGCATTGACGACTCTCATGTGTCTGTCTGGTGTAGCTGAATTAGGCTACATGAGGAATTGTGACTTGTTTACTCGTATATAATGTATAAAACGTTGTAATTTAGAGGATAAAATGACAAAGTTGTTTTCAGATGTTTAAAATATCTGTATACTCAATGTTTAACAAATGTTTTCACTTAAAGGGGTAATTCAATTTTTTTTTTTACTTCATAATTTACTCACTCCTCAAAACATGTATGACTTTCTTTCCTCTGTTGAACACAAAAGAAAATATATTTTGAAGAATGTAATACCTGTAACCATTGATTTTTCCTATATGGTTAGGTTACAAGTTTAGCCCTTTCTTCAAAATATCTTTATTGTTTAACAGAAAAAAAAAGAAAATGAGAAAGTTTTGAAATCACTTGAGGGAGATAAAAAAGTGAGTAAATAATTATATTTGGGTGAACTATCCCTTTAAGAAGAGTTAAAAACATATATTAGTGGCTAATATTAAAGAGCGTTGAGGTTAATTTGGCTTTTGGAGGCTAATAAGCATGTGTGGTTAAAAAAGAAACACTTTCATTGCCTTACATTATGCATTTATCTTTACCTAATAAGTTGAAACAACTCTTTGTTTTTGAGAGCCAACTAATTTATTTCCACTTTCAGATTTAAAACTGGTACGTTTTCATTGACTTTGACATGTTACACACTTCATGAAAGTTTTTTTAAATCCACTTTAATAATATAATAATCCACTTAATATTATTATTATAACTATTATTAGATCATTTGTTTCAAGACCCTTCACAAGGAAATTTCACAAAAATCAAATATTTTAGGCCAACATCACAGTAAAGTTATTGTACCATTTACACTACCTGACAAAAGTCTAGTCATCGATCCCAGTTGTAAGAGCAAAAAATAATAACTTCCATTCGATCATTTGGAAAAATGCAGAAGGCAGATTTTTCAGATGAATCGTCTGTTGAACTGCATTTCAATCATCACAAATACTGCAAAAGACTTATTGAGGAACTACCAACCTACGTCACACATGACGTCACACGGCTATCTGGTTGCAAAAAGAAACCGGTTGCAAAAGCAAACATGTCGTGTTGTGCGGTAGGACGCCAAATGCAGTAGGATTCCAAAATCCAAAAATAGAAAACTTAACTTTTACTGTACAACACAATGCTTTTAATGCCAACCACAGACAGTGTTGGCTAAAAGGGAGCTGAATGGAGTGAGGATCTAATTAAAAATGCTCGACTCTGCAGTTCTCATTTCATATCAGTTCACGCTATGCTGAATCATACACATTACTTGTTTTTGATTGCAGCAATGATTTCAGCTTAAACAGTTAAGTATGGATAATTAACACTGAATGAATGCTAAGAATGAGTAGTAAAAGTGTGTTCACATACCCTGCCGTACAGGTGCAGTTCGCTGTCAGAATGAGGTTTTGCTTGTTGATGATTACCCAGGCCTTGTATAGTTCCGTCTTCTTTCCTTGTCTTAGGCTAGGCAGAACCTCGGTTTTTAGCATTACAAAGTTTTGAATCTGGTAATCATGAAACATTATTTCTTGCACATGTCCACACAGAACAAAACTGTTGGCATCCAAAGACTTCTCTCTTGTAAAATCACTTGGAGCTTCAATGCGATTGAATGTTTCGGGTTGGATGCTTGGTCATTTCGTCTTATGCAATATTGAGGTGCTTTCGCAAACGTACCTGTCAGAAGAACGCCGCTCACTTTAACGCTAATTTTGTCGAATTACTGTGCCTATCACTGGGTGACAAGCTGTTATAATACGCTGAAAGCATTATGTTAATAATATATATAATATATAATCAATATAACATATCTCTAATACAACAACAAACCCTTTACCGCATCGGATGTCATTCCCTCGCTGTAAATGCTAGCGCTCCCGTTTTTTTCTGCAACCTCGCTGCGCGTCCATCTTGAATGTTTACAAACATGGTGATTCGTCTACAGAATGCCTGCTGGAGATTTTCACACTAAAAGATTTTCACACAGATCAGTCGAGTTTGGTGAAGAAAATAAATCATGGTTTGGGGTTACATTCAGTATGAGGGTGAGCGAGAGATCCGAAGAGTGGAGAGCAACATCAACAGCCTGAGGTATCAAGACATTTGTGCTGCCCATTACATTACAAACCACAGGAGAAGACAAATTCTTCAGCAGGATAGTGCTCCTTCTCAAACTTCAGCCTCCACATCAAAGTTCCTGAAAGCAAAGACGGTCAAGGTGCTTCAGGATTGGCCAGCCCAGTCACCAGACATGAACATTACTGAGCATGTCTGGGGTAAAATGAAGGAGGCATTGAAGATGAACCCACAGAATCTTGATGAACTCGGGGAGTCCTGCAATAATGCTTTCTTTGCCATTGTAGATGACTTTATTGATAAAGTAGTTGAGTCAGTGCAGAGATGTATGGATGCAGTCCTCAAAGCTCATGAGAGTCATACACAGTATTAATTCCTTTTCCACTGCACCATGACTTTATATTCTATACTGTACATTATTTCTAAGTGACAAAACTTTTGTCTGTCCTAATTAAATAATTAAAAATCAAGGCATGATCATATTTTATTTTGGTAAAATAAGCGTAATCTAGAGGCCTTTGCCTTTCATATAAGCCACTTCTGATACCAAATGATCAACTAAAAGTCAAGTTATTATTGCCTGTTCATAAAACATGGATAGACGACAAGACTTTTGTCAGGTAGTGTACATGTCAGGTGATCAATTAACTGATAAAAATAAATGAAAATATTAATCTCATACAAGTTGTATTGCAACGGTGATTTCTCATGTTTGGGGGCTCTTTGTGACAAAAAGTTTGAGAAAGGAAATAAAATAAATACCTCAACAAACGTTAAAGAGTAAACATTTTACCTCATTCCTTGGTTCTCTTCCAATTTTTTAGCCTCTCCTTTTCTCTCTGCCAGATGATGACTGAGGTTGCGAAGGCACAGACAGACTCGGTGGTGTCCAGTGTGGAGTCCATGCTGGCGGACGCGGCCCGACTGCAGACGCAGTGCCGGGAGCGGAGCGGTGAGCTGGCAGTGGCTGCTGTGGAGCTGCACCAGGAGACCCAGAGCCTACGGGACCAGTGCGAGGCCACACAGCTGGACATGGCCCGCCTCCGACGGACGCTGGACGACCTGCTGGACACAAAACACGCCTACGAGGCCCGAGAGAGACAGACCAGAAAACTCAGCAAGCAGCTGTAGAGAGAGCAGAGTAACTGAACAGGAGTCTAAAAGCTCATTCGAAGTTGTTGATCTCATTTTCATGAAAATAAATAAAAGTGTGTTAAGAATAACCAAGCAGTTGAGTAATAATTGTACTTTCGATACAATAATGTACAAAGGAATAGATTTCCTCATTTACTCACACTCAAGTGGTTAACTTTTTTTTACTTTCTTCTGTTTTACCCAAAACAAGATATTCTGAAGAATGCTGGAGAAAAAAGTAGCTGATGACAATTATAGTAGGAACAACAAAAAAACAAAAAAAACATGGAGGTTAAAGGGATAGTTCACTCAAAAAAAAAAAAGAAAATTATCATCATTTACTCACCTTTTACTTCTTTCATACCTGTGTAACCATTGACCTTCATAGTATTTGTTTTTCCTACCATGGAAGACGATGGTTTCACAGGTATGGAACAAGGGTGAGTACATGATGACAGAATTTTCTTTTTTTTGGGAGGACCATCCTTTTAATGGCTGTTTGGTTTTCCCAACAATCTTCATTTGCAAGTGGAGGATGATTAAATGATGACCTCATTTTTTGATTGAAAAATCACCATACAGCTTAATTAAACAGACAGTGATTGTTTATGGAATATTTTGGGGTTCAGTATAAATGACATTGGTGTACATATATAGTTTTTATTTACACGTTACCATGATCTATCAAATATTCTCCCATCCTCCAATCCAATGTCATCTCTACTCTGATGATGTTAATCGATGTGAGGGTGGAAAACCTGTTACAACCAATAGCAAATCACAAGGTACATCAAGTTTAAATTTACGTTTATTATGAGATTTTGTTTGGCAATTTTTTTTTCCAGCAGAAGAAACTTAATTGAACTCATTGGTAGCACCTAAAATCTAATTCATTTCTACTAAATGTGACCCTGGACCACAAAACCAGTTATGTGTGTGTGTGTGTGTATTTTTGGGCTTGTTAGGATTGAACAATAATTGGTTGAGATACAAATAGCCAATTTGAAAATCTGTAATATATATTTTCACAGTAATATATTTAGTAATATTAACTAATATTAATATTATTAACTTAATCTCCAAGATAAATCATCTAAATCCACAGGTACATATCGTCAGTGATGTACCCGGGGTCACTGGGTGTTTCAGGTCTTTCAACATCAGACACCCTCACCCAGGTGACCAGCTGTGGTGAATCAGACGCCAGCTTGCGTCCCAGTAGCCATCATCCATGGATCAGCCCTCTTTATACATAGCCATCTTGTGGCTTTCTCTGCAGTTTTACAAATGAACTTAATGGCCCACTTCTACGGCTAGGACTAGATGGTTGAAGAGTTTACAGAATGAACTAATATTTACAATAAGATGCTTTACAATAATATATTTGTGCATGTAGATTAGATACTACTAAAGTTAAAACTGGAACTATTCTAACACAAAAAAGTCAGAGCCAAAAAATATATTCAACCAAATCAATATTATCAAAAAACAATAATAATTGATAAAATTTTACATTTTGCTATTGTAACATTCCCCTAACCATATTGCTCCGAAATCATTTCTTGTATAAGTATTATATTTACTGCTCAAAAAGAATAAAGGGAACACTCAGGAGTTACATTGTGTTGTTTAAGTGTTCCCTTATTTTTTTTAATTAGTTTATATATATATATAAATGTATATATATATGTATATATATAAATAAATCTATGTATATAAATATATATATATATAGTATATATATATATATATATATATATATATATATATATAGTATATATATATATATAAATTATATATAGATATATTATATATATATATATATATATATATTCAAAGATTTTTATAATGTATAGGATCTTTAATATATGTGTTTTAAAATTAACCATCCCATGACATACTGAGACACCACAGCACAAAGCTGACTTATTTATTGCTTTGAAATGCTCACATAATCTCAAGCATTATGTGGTATACAACAGATTTAGTATTCATAAAAAAAAACATCAGTGCATGTTAACCAACAGTTCTAAAACAATGTAGCAAGTTCAAAGAAAACGTACAACAAAGGTTGCACAAAAAAAAGCATTCAGTGGCCGAAGTGAACATGACCAGAGTGCAGCGGAGATCTGCAGAAGAACACTGTGTATTGGAGGACTTTACTGCGGTGGACAGCACCTCAGATCTGGCACTTCGCCTGTGGAAAGCGGATACCATCACAGGCCAAATTATGGATTTATGTCCCTGTCATCCCAAACACACACACACACTCCTGCCTCCCGTGGCTATGTGCAGGAAAAAGCCATTAAAAAAATGACATCTCTACTGGGCACAAGATTAATAGCTAAACACTTTGGGAAAGACACTCTCAAGCAGTTTTGCCTATGTTAAGGACGCCAAGGACTAGGAGTAGGAGAAATGTGAAATTAGTGAGGGGGAAAGGCACTTATGGGAGATTCCTGGCCCAAAGAAAAGGCACACGAGTGCCGTCCAATGGGATTTGTGGAGTAATTCATATAAACAGACAGCAGAGGGCGAAAATGTTGTAGATTGTCATTACAGAGCAGGCTTTACATAGAGCCCGGCTGAAAGTTCAGTACAGCGAGTTAACTAGGGGTCTGACTCCAGGTCAGATAGGTCCAATGTTATGCTTTTTTTTTTAAACAAAAGCTTGATATTGATATATGCATTTATGAAAAATTTATCAAAAGTAGAAACATGAACCCTGTTCTTGAAAATATGAGATTAGGGGGGTTTTTTGTTAATGAAATTGTTTGTGAAAACTCTGACAATGTTGTCAGATTTGATCTCTTTACGTAAAACTGTGTCTCAATCAGTTCAGGTCACACTACCAATCTGGCAACCTCACACCGTCACCTGCCAGGTCTGCACTGCCAGCCACAGATCAGTAACCATGGCAACTAACCCTTGGCAATGCTAGTGAACAAAATCAAGAGCGTATACTGGCGCTGCCAAAATCCTCTCGGCTCAGCTAGACAACTGCTAGCCAGCAGTGTGATTGTGAATGTGTGTGTGTCTGTGTGTGTGTTCAAGCGGCTCATAGACTGCTTTAGTGTGTGCTGACATGCCTCTAAATGTGTCTGTGTTCACTAAGGACGTCCCGGGCGATTGAAGAAGGGCTCAGTTTCAGAAGGGGGCGCTGATGGGTCTTCTGTTCCCGGACGGATTTCGGACCCTTTATGACGCTGGATCAGGACCAGAACTACTATGATCATCCAAAAGAAGAAATTCACCCATACTGCTGTCTGACAGAGAGGAAAATAAAGGTTTTTTTAGACAATAATTATCATTTAAATTACTTTATTCACTCACATACATACATATTCATACATACATATTCATACAGTGCATCCGTAAAGTATTCATAGCGCTTCTCTTTTTCCACATTTTTTTATTACAGCCTAATACCAAAATGAATGAAATTAATTTATTTCCTCAAAATTTTACACGCAATATCCCACAATGACAATGTGAAAAAGAGTTTTTGAAATTGTTGCAAATTTATTAATAATAAAAAGCTGAAAAATAACGTGTATCAGTATTCACAGCCTTTGGAAAGCTCTAAATTGAGCTCGGGTACATTCTGTTTCCACTGATCATTCTTGAGATGTTTCAGCAGCTTCATTGGAGTTCACCTGTAGTCAATTCAGTTGACTGGACATGATTTGAAAAGGCATACACCTGTCTATATACGGACCCAGGGTTGACAGTGCATGTCAAAGCACAAACCAACCATGAAGACAAAGGAATTGTCAGCAGACCTCTGACACAGGATTTCCTTGAGGCACAAGGCTGGGGAAGGTTACAGAAAAAATTCTGCTGCCCCGAAAGTGCCAATGAGCACAGGAATCACCAGGACTCTTCCTAGAGCTGGCCAGCCATCTAAGCTGAGTGATCTGGGAAGACGGGCTTAGTCAGGGAGGTGATCATTAACCCGATGGTCACTCTGTCTGAGCTCCAGCATTCCTCTGTGGAGAGAGGAGAACCTTACAGAAGGACAACAAGCTGTGCAGCAATCCACGAATCAGGCGTGTATGGTAGTGTGGCCAGACGGAAGCCACTCCTCGTCTGGAGTTTGTCAAAAGGCATCTAAAAGACTCTCAGACCACAAGTAACTAAATTCTCTGGTCTAATGAGACTAAAATTGAACTCATCGGAGTGAATGCCAGACGTGACGTTTGGAGAAAACCAGGCACCGCTCATCACCAGTCTAATACCATCCCTACAGTGAAGGATGGTGGTGGCAGCATCATGCTGTGGGAATGTTTTACAGCAGCAGGAACTGGAAGACTAGTCAGTATAGAGGGAAAGATGAATGCAGCAATGTACAGAGACATCCTGCATGAAAACCTGCTTTAGAGTGCTCTTGACCTCAGACTGGGGTGACGATTCATCTTCCAGCAGGAGAATATCCCAAAGCACACCGTCAAAATATCAATGGATTGGCTTAACAACAACTCGGTGAATGTCCTTGAGTGGACCAGCCAGAACCCAGACCTAAATCCTATTAAACATCTCTGGACAGATCTGAAAGTGGCTGTACACTGTCGCTTCCAGTCCAACCTGATAGAGCTTGAGAGGTACTGCAAAGAGGAATGGGCAAAATTTCCAAAGACAGCTGTGCCAAGCTTGTGGCATCATATTCAAAAAGACTTGAGGCTGTAATTACTGCCAAAGGTGCATCAACAAAGTATTGAGCAAAGGCTGTGAATACTGATGTACATGTGATTTTTCAGTTTTCTTATTTTTAATACATTTGCAACAATTTAAAAAACTGTTTTTTCCACACTGTCATTATGCAGTATTGTGTGTAGAATTTTGAGGAAATAAATGAATTTAATCTATTTTGGAATAAGACTGTAACATAAAAAAATGTGGAAAAAGTGAAGCGCTATAAATACTTTATGGATGCACTGTAATGCTCGGATTATAAAAGTGTGGGAACTGTATCAAATAGAACATAAAATATGCATTACGACTTCAAAAAACAATTATCCTAAAAAGATGGTCTTCTTTTATGCCTTTAATTCTTCAATAATGAGCCATACTGAACTCTGTGAAGTATCTG